GTACGATACTCGTGCCATGGGGACACTTTTCGGCCCAGCTATTAGGATATTATAAACTACGCCTTGCCAAAAAGTGTTACTTATGGCACTTGTATCGTAAAGTACTATTTCAAAGTCGATTTTCTACCTTAGCCTTCGGAGAGTTTCCATAACACCAGTAATCGTGCACTTTTTCTCTGAACCTTCAAAAAACGCGTTGCTGCGATTTCTATCAAGCCCCCATATGTCTTAAATGAGGGATTAATACCGAGCAGCAATATATAAATTCACTCATTTTTTATTCGAAATCTATTCAACATGCGCTAAATATCAACTAAAAAGAACAATTTTGAGTATAAAAATGTATTTGAAATCGTTCAGAGAATACGTGTAAAATTTTTCAGAATTTTCAGACCACTTTGAAAATTTTTCAAAATACGACCATTTCCCGGCCTGTCGAAAAAATCCAAAATGTTCCAAAAAAATTCTAAAAAAAATTCTAAAAAAAAATTGGGAAAAAATTAACATGTATTTTTTAAACAAATTTGAGCCCTTTTCATTTGTGATTTTTTTTTATAAAGTCGATAATGTCCGAGTAAAAAATGAGGTAATTTTTATATCGCTGCGCGGTATAAATTCGCCATTTTAGAAATATAGGGGCTGGATAGAAATCGCGGTAGCGCGTTTTATGAAGGTTCAGAGAAAAAGTGCACAATTGCTAGTGTTATGAGAACCCCCCCGAAAGCTGGGCAAGGTAGAAAATCGACTTTGAAAAAAAATGTAAGTCAAAAAATCACGTTTTTTTATAATTGCAAAATAAACGATGATAATATTAATTTATCGCAAAAATTACGCCGGATTCCGAAAGAGCATACTCAAAAACCCGTGGGTATGGATTTTCAAGAAAATATTTTAACTTTATCTATAACTAGCCCGAGTTTTAGCGCGCTTCGCGCGCTCTTTTCTTTCTTATTCCGCTTTGCCATTTTTCAATATTTAAAATAGAAAAATTAAATAAAGGTTATGTTATAAACTGTAAAAATACGCAATAGGTCGGCTTTTCGCCTCAGCGTCTCCTCGAGAAAACCAATCAAAATTAGTCTTCAGCCGGTCCATAGGTTAATATTCCACTTTCTTAACTTACCATAATACTCGTATTTACGCGCTACAAAACAAAAGCAAGCTACTGAACAACCAATCACAGCGCGTATGAAATGCTAACGCCAAAATCCTCACCACTTTTATAGGATAGGATTTTTTTACAATGGAAAATTCATGCACAAAATTGCACTTTCGCGCGTTATTGAGTTAAGAGGTGGCCGTTAAGGGAGGTTTCACTGTATTAACATCATGAAAAAAAATTACAATTGAGTTATTGATTTTGAGGAAGAATCTACTTGTCCAAATGGATTGGCAGCGATTTATATTTTTTATATTTAAATATGACTGAAGTCTTGATCTATAAAGTGTGATTTACTTTTATATTCTCCATATGAACATGAATTCATAAAATAGTGAACACGTATGGTTTTTTCCTAAAATTTATATTTTTTCGAGAAAATAATTCAAGAATGTTTTAATTATTTTTATATTTTGTGACAAAAAACGTTGAACAAAATATAGGTTGTCGATGAATATTTTTCCGTAGAATTGAATTACAGGGTAGAATTGAATCTTAAAAATTATTTAAAGTTTAAAAAGCGAAAAAATACACTTTTGCTACCAAAATTGTTTATAACAAAAAATTGACTTTTGCTGGAACTTTGGAATAGCTTTACGTTACGGTTGGTTCTTCTTCGCACCACCGGTCGCGAGGAGGTGATCGCGAGGATGACTAGGTTGCAGAGAAAAGAAAGGCACTCGGTTATGTGAGGTTACTTTATTACTCCGAGATGCGTGTCGCAGCTCGACTCGATCAAGAGTGTCGTAATGACCAACTCCCTCTCTCTCTGCGCCGCCTAGCTGCGCGCTGCTGAGAGAGAAGAGGGGAGGATCCCCACATAAATTCGAAAACATAGTTGATCAAAATTTCAGAACAACTTTGTTTCCGGGTATTCAATGAAAAGTTGGTCAAGCTTTTATTTCACGACACAAACATTCGATGAACAACAAAAAAACCTATCCTACTTTTTGTTCTTTTTTTGCATTCTACCTCTGAGTTCTGGCTTACTTTCATCGGATGATCAATCGAGCTCTCCTCTCGCACTGTTGTTGTGCGTTTCTACATCCTTTACCGGTCTTGCCACAAGGTGACCTATAACTTCAGAAAGTGGAAAATTCACGCATGTCTTGGGTTATGCCAAGTATACGCGTGAGCATAGGTATGATAGTGTACCTATATGACGACCGCGCAAAGGAAAAATTCTCGAAATTTTTCAATCTTTCTTGAATCATGATGATAAGGGAGCAGTGACTTTAGATTTCTCACTTGTCACCGTTACGTATCGATTTACAGTACAGAGTCTTAACCTCTTGGTCAGTTGGTTCTTGTCTGTCAAGTGCGATTTCTCGCATTATGCAGGCAACCGCTCCCACTATTCGAAATCAATGATTTTACGCACATTTTAATTAATTATACATTAGTTAGTACGGTAAGGGGTAATTTTTAACATACCAATCGAAAGGTAGTGACTTGAAGTGTAACATATTCGTTTTTGGTAAAGATCTGTTGTTTCATAAAAAAGTTATGGCGTAAAATGTATGAAATTATGATGGCCTCCCTAAAGAGCCCATGTTAAATTTGATATTTTCAACGGCTTCGTTTTCAAAAAGTCAACCCATGATGAAATTTTTACAGCATATCAAGCACATTACAAAGAATATTTCTGCAAAGTTTCATAAACATCTGTTGTTGACCCGTTTTACTGATGAGCTACCTTAAGGGGAGTCATACACCAATTCACTCCTTTTTGTCATTTTTGTGATATAAACCACAGTTTAATGTCGACCTACATTTTCAACATACAACTGGCACCTTTGAGCCCTAAAAAATGTAAAAAAAGTTACAGAATAGGCCTTTGCATCTTAAGAAGGTACCTGCGCGATTGGAATTACTGAAGAGATTTTGATAAAACTTCACAGATAGACATCTATAAAATAATGATTTCCTGAAAATTTCAAAACGTTTCATTAGCTATGAGAAAAGTTGTGCGAGTTGAAATTTAGCCTTTTTAACATGGGCTCTTATGGGAAATAGCTTAATCTGAAAAATTACTGAAGAGATCTTGATGAGATTTTGCATGCACGTAGAAATATTAATTTAATATAATATATGAACAAAACTCTTACTAGTTTGGTTATCTGTGAGCTGAGATACACGTACTATACATATGTACTATACATACGTACATACGTACTATACATACGTACATACGTACTATACATGTATAAACAAATTAGGCATTATGCAATTACATTTCTAGTGACTTTTGATTAGAGTTATAAAAAAGTTTGTATGCCAACAAATGTGAAAAAAGCAAGAAACAAAAAAAATTATTTGTCACCTTTCCATTGTATTTTTCAAAACTCTCAAATTTCGATATTCACTGAGATATATCTGTTTCCGTGAGCCTTTTTCATATACTTCGGGTGTTAAATTTTTTTCTGTTGTGTTTTCTGGCGTCTTTGCAAAATGCACCTTACTTGTGTAACGTAAATAGTTGTCTTTAAACAATTATTTCGTTCAGTTGGCCTTGATATACCGATTATTCGTCTTTAGTCTTAGTTGACCTAAAAAATATCAAGATGAAGGTCGCCATAGAGCCTTTTAAAGAAATATTAACTAGAAGTTTCAGAAAACTGGATCGAAATTTTAATTTTTGGGCTGAGGTACGGATCTCCTTTTGAAAGTTTTGACCCCAGATTCAAAAAGTACATTGAATTTTACGTAAGAAATAATATCTGAAAAGTTTTTTAATCAATTTTTAGTCGGTGTAATTCATCGCTATAAATGTTGTCCAAAAATGATCTTTTCAGGCGTTAAAGGGTTAAAAAGTTATAGGTAAAAAATCGGAGCTGTCTTTTTGCGAGCGAACGATGTATGTATGTATGTAAATTCGTTTTCTAAAACTTTAAACGCGTTTTTTCTCGAAACCATGTTTTCTGAAGCGGGCGGCAAGATATCTCAAAAAGTACTGCACTTAAAGATACACTTTTTTATTTCATAGCTAATTAAATTGTCTGGATCTCAAACCTAAAAAAATTTTTAATTTTTTCATTATTATTTTTTTAGAGCCCTTAAAAGAGCCAAAAAGGGCAAAAAAAATTTTTTTTCTGAACTCCACCATTTTATCAATTTAAAATTTTTTTGCAATTATTAAGGTTCAAACTACAGCAAATGTCATCTAGTTTAAGAAGAACTTCGAATTTTTGGTTTCGGGCAATAGCTGAAGGCGCTAGCTTGCCGCCTGTTAAGGTATTTTTTTTAACGCGACCTCCATCAAACGCTGCTAGGGAATACATAATTCGATATTTTGGTCTGAAAAAATTTGTAAATATATTTAAATACATACTTTATAAGTACCAAAAAACTTGACTCCACTGTTCACTTTTTTCAACAACAAAAAAATCACGAAAAACACGTCATTTTCGAGGCGCTAGATGAGAGCCACCCCCTTAAAATAGACACTATATATATAGGTGAACTATACCTTGCCACCAGATTTGTAAATGGAAGAGGATTAATTAAAAATAATTTTAGCAGAGATTCTCATGTTCTTAGGAAGTAATGATTTGTGGAAAATTAAAGATACGGTGCCAATTTGAGAAATGCACTTGATTCGCAGTTTTTTCCGCTGAGAAATCAAATTTTTATGTAAAATTTTTCAAATAGATTGCAAATTAAAATAAACTTATGCATTACTGTAATAAAACTTATTAAGATCGGTTTGGAATCTTTCATTTGAAATATTGAACGAATGCCGCTGCGAGGAAGCTCTTGATACGCACGAATTGAAATTTTGTAGAACTAAAAATTGAGACGAATTGCAAACGAAGTTTTATAATGAATTTTATTTTTTCAGTGTGGCAGCGGTTCATCGGTCACAGGTGAAGGCGTCATTGTAAGCGGCGTAAATGTCAATGGAGGGATCGGCGTAGGAAGTGGCATGGACTGTATGCCACTGCGTCCTGGTCCGTTTCACTATTTAATAAACGAGCAGGCGAAATCTTTAGTGGCCCTGCAGGAGCTTCAAAATGAAGTTGGAGCTTTACTCGAGTTTCGGGATCTCGTCATCGAGACGTTCCCGAACCTCAGGCATAAAATGGCCGTATCTGCGGCGTCGTCGGCGGTGGTTGCGACAAGTGCTGGTTCAGGGGCCAGTGGGAACAGCCCGGCCGGTGGTCCAGTTCACACCTCGAGCAACGACAATGCTTCCGTCCTCATGTCACCCAGCAATCAGCAGGGCTCGCACATACCTCTTCCATTATCCAGTCAGAGGTACACATTCGAAGCAAGAGCTTTGAAATTTTAAAAACTTTCGGAGACAAAGGCACGTGACTGTGAATTGCGTTAAATTTTTCAGTTTAACGTCGCGGCGAATCGTCGAATGGGAACCGGGCAAGGTGCGCCGAAGAGTCGCGCAATCCAGGGAGACAGACTCGACGTCGTCGTTGCCGCGAAGTCGCAGTAATTCGCATAGCGGAGGCTGCAGCAGTAACAACAAACAGCACAGTGCCACCGTCCAGGACTCGGGTTTTAGTACGGAAACGTCATCGAAAGATAGCGCCTCGACTGCTACCGCTAGACCACAAAGTCCCAACTGTAGACCCGTCCTCGATGAAGCTGAAGACGAGCTCTGGAATCTGCTCGATGTTATTCACAGAAAAGGGGTCAGGCTTAGAGAAGAGGTCGAGAGTTTGCAAGGTAGGCTGTACGAATCTCATTTAAATGAGTAGTGAGATTTAAAAAAATTGAAAATATACGCCATAATGTTGCCGGAGTATCGATATCGTTAAGGGTTTTTTTTCCTCAGGTCGTTTAGAAAGTGTCGCCCCGGAAGACTTGGATGACGTGCCGAGCGACATCCTCGATGCCGTGCGAAATGTCACGGATCACACAACGAGACAACGTAAAAGGCTGGACCATTCGGATCTCGACGAGAATTTCCTCGATGACGACAACGACGACAACAGTGACGAGTTGGCCTTGCTGCGTCGCGAAAAGCTTCAATTACTTGACAAAGTAGCTGAACTCGAAGCCGAGACTATAGCTGGTCGGGTTCGAACTCAAGAACTCCAGTCCCAACTAGCAGCTCTGGCGCTTCTCAAGACTGGTTTGGAGGATAGGTTAAAAATTGGATTGTCAGCCGCAGGCGACATCAGTAGCGAGATCTTAACGCCGGCGCCTAACAGAATAACACCCATCGATGCGGTCTCCACAAATGGCATGCCTTCACCTAGAGGCAGCAACGGAGCACTCAATATCGGTGGCAAAGGTTCGGCTTTTGCAAGCGTCGTTACCTCTACTGGTAAGCGACTAATAGCTACTTCTATTTTCATTTAAGACGATTATAATTCAAACATCACATGGTATTAAATCTAAATGTGGTATTTTTTCAAGGTTCAGAGTCCAAGTTGTCTGCGAAAAGTCGTTTTCGTACGCGAACAATCAAAAAGAATGTATTGCAGCGCGCGGCTAACCAGATGTCAACGACCAATCGTTCTTACGAAGATATTTACTCGGCGGTCGCTTCTCAAGATTCGCCCGCAGAGCGACGAGCTCATCTGGGTGCGCTGGATTCGGTGCTGGTATCGCCGACTCGAATGCCGCTAAGACGATTGCCTCGGGCTGACGTGGATACTTTGAAAATTGCTGCCATACTGAAAGAAAAAGAGCCACTAGAGCTGCAGAGACACCTCATAACTACGACTGTTCACAATCAAGTGAGAGCTAGACGAGTCTTAATAAATAATTGTCTCAATAAATGTCGTGGTCGTTCATTTAATATTTTTGATATTTTCAGGTTTTACAAAAGCAACTGAATGAAGTGCAGAAAAGTAGTGAATGCCTTTCCGAACGATTAGGAAAGGCCAATGAAGAAAATGAGGATCTGCGGTTTCAGGTACGTAGGCGATAAATTACTAGCTTTGTTGAAGACCTTAACATTAGAAATTCAACCCTGTTTAATCGCAGCTGGCCGAGAGAAACATCGAGCTCGAGGGTACTCGAGCCAGAGTGCGGGTGCTGGAGCGTTTGCAGCAACGACCAGCAACTGAAACGGACGCAGATAGTGAGTCTGAGTTGGCGTTGCATCAGCTATCGAATGGCACGTTGGACACGACGAATAGCAACAGCAGTGCTGAATCGTCGCGCGAGCCGCTGGTCAACTTGCAGAACGGTGCAGCGTTGAAGCCTTCGCCTCGCCGGCGACCTAGTCGAATTCCTTTGCCAGGTGCTTCGAAGGCAGCGGCACCAAAGCCTCCGATCATTCAAAGATCGCGCTGCACTTATGACTCAGCGAGTCAGAATTATTCGCGAGATTCGCTCGGCAAACAGCAGCAAACGAGTAACGGCTCCCCTTCGGGCTCGGCTAACTCCAATCGATTGAAGAGCCATCGAGATTCTAGTCGCGAGTCTCTTAATAAAAGCATTAGCCTTAACAAAAGTCAGACGAACAGATCCTTGTCGCGTAGCATCGGCAGCAGCAATAATAACAACAGTGGCAACGACAGCAATAACAAAAACTCCTTGGGCAAAGCAACCAACTCGAATTCATTGTCGAAACCAAAGGATTCGTTAGAATCAAATAGTGGAGGCGCACAAGCACCACCGAGCACCCCGCCGAGAAGGCCATCCGCACCGACGCGTAGATCGCAGAGCCAAGCACCAATTTCGTCCAGGTCCGTCGTCAATGCTGCTGCCAGTGCCGATCAAGACTATGGCGGCAAGGTACGCACCGTTAAGCAATTCTTTTGGAAAACCTGGCTCAAATGAAACTGCGATCGAGAGAGATGATTAAGAAAATGATATGGAAAATAATGCGATTATGCAAAAAGTTTATTAAGGATGGATTGCGATTATTATTTACGTTTAATGAATAGGAGATGGGTTTCTTGCACGATCAATAGCGTTGGTTGTTTTTCGTGTGCTGGATGAACAACAAGTCTCTCTCCCTCGTTGAGATCTGGCCAACAATTGAAAAGGAAACACACTATCAAAAATACGCGTCTCTATGTTTTTTTTATTATAATTATCATTATTATTATTATTATCGTTTTCATTGACTGAACAATATTACAAAACAAATTTAGATGGAATTTCACAGTCACAGTTAAACATTTAAACTCGAGTATTATTGTAAATAATGAGTTTCGCGTAATTAAAATGGTTACTTATTATTATTTTAAAAACACGAAGATATTATCTGTAGCTATAATGTTCAACTTTTTTTGTTATTCGATTTCATGATTCATGAAAAACCAACGTTACACTTTTTTTTCATTATTCAGTTTAAAAGTTTCATTAATGAGGGATGAATATTGTTTTAATTCAACTTCCACCTACAATATCGTTCAAATCTTTAATTATACATGTGAAACTAAAAATTAAATGATAATGTGAAAAGCTGCCGAACTAATGAAAATTTTCTAAAACGACTGCCTAGTATAAATTCATATGCCACTAACACACATATACGTACATACAGTTTAAAAAAACTAATCCAAAATAATAAACAAAAAAATCAAACAAACAAATACATACATTTTCTACGAAATCTTGTGCTGGGCTGACAGAGATGAGGTGAAGACTTGCAACCTATACCATCTTCGATATTTCGTCTGCAAAATACATTCAAGAGCAAAAAAGAATATTATCATACCATACGCAAATGGTCCCGAGAAAAGAGATTTTCGCTCCTTAGCGCAATTTTTCGTCTTCTGTCTCGTAAGTTATGCTTCTTAAAATTATCATTTGCTTCAAGATGCTTTTCTTTGACTGGATTTGCCGATTTTTGCACTTCACGATTCCGTTATATTTTCCTCCGTGACTCCTAAAAAGTAGTTGCCAAATCCTCGATTCCTTGATCACCTGCAAGTTTGGGTTTGTAAAAGTTTTAGTAGTCTTAGTGGTTTGTATATCATTTTGTTTGAGAGTTAATTTGAATGCTTACTTTTCACTTTTTAATGCTATTCTGTTTCTTGGCCATTTGTCGATACTTACAAGCTAAAATAATTTCTTTTAGAAAATATGCATAGAAACTTGATATGGATATTTTTTTATATTAGCTTGCATTAGATCTTTATCTCAGCTGATAACTATGTGACAATATGGTACCATTGATGGTTATCACTGGCATATATAAAAAGTTTAATGCCAAGAATTTTCACGCTTTGCATGTCTATAACTACATAATTTGTCAATGGTGTTTGTGTTACCTTCTGCACTTATATTTGAAGAAAATTTTTTCATGAAACCGGGGTACAGATTATTTTCTCCTAGATGTGCTATATGATCAACACCAACTGTCAACACATCATAATGGCATGTCAATATCTCAATTTGTAGTACATGAAAACGCGGTATTCTATTTAAATACCTAATTCTTATTGCAAACCTGAATAAATTCTTGGCATATGCTTTTTTTTTTCAACGCATTACAATGTCTTCATTGATACAGTAATAAAATAGTATTATTAAAAATCTTAGTGGAAATAAAAAAGAAATCTAATATACTGTTTTTTTTTAAATATCAAAGCTTTTCGTTACAGTTGATAACAATTTTTAAAAACATTTTTAATACATAAAAATGATTTAAGCATGGGAGGAATTTAAAAAAATACCAATTCAAAGAATATTTATTAGACATTCTGCGTATAAAATTTTATAACCATTGAATTGAATTTAATGAAATAATTTAAAATGAAAAAGTTTTAAAGTTTACTGCATGTGGTAGTTTAGTATATTTATAAGGCTTTCAAAATTATAGTACTGCAGCAAAAAACGTACAAAATTGCATATACTTTGAGTTTTCTAAAATGGACACACCTAAACCAATAACAATAATTTCACAGTTCACTCTATAGAAATCACAAATACTTATACAATCCACAATCAATGTATTTAGCTACTCATTTTGAAATACAAAACTAATATTTTTAATTTTATTATAATTTTGATTTTTCTTTTAATTTGCCTACTTATAAATCTATTTTGCTAACATTAAATCATATATATGATAATATTTATATAGTATTCATGGGGTAATACTATAATACATGATAAATACATACAATTTTTGATACAGCATTATGTCCTAACTATATGCATGATTAAAATTATTGTTTATAAAAAATATTTAGTACATGTGTAAGATTATTGGTATTAATTTTTCATGTATATCAATAACCACTCATGGATTAGTAATTCTAATTACTATTATACAGTGCAGTTTTGTCTCTATATGAAAGAAATACCTATAAATCTATTTAAGGTTGTGTAATTTTTTACAAAAAGCATGGTTTTTCAATATGGTCATGCATTTAACGTTTCTATCATGGTTAATAATTATACTAATGATCCATTAAACTAAGAATAATTATAATAACAATAGTATTATAAATAATTTACATCTTGAAATGTATTACCTGTAGAATTAAAAAACAGCACAAACATCCAAAATTTTAATATTCAATACTTTTGCACTTTTCAGAGTATACAATCTTCAGATCCTCCAACTTCATGGCTTTCATCAACTGTTTCAATATATCCAGATTCATTAGATAGTAGGAACGAATCGACTTGCACTGCCTCAACTAAAATTGAATTCATAATTGGTTCACCAACACGTAAACGGCTCTTCAAACCTGCTTCTTGGTTTCAATTCTTCGACAGTATTGATATGCCTAGTTACAGCGGCAAACACCCCTCAATGTTAAATAAGGTAGAGTCTGAGGGTGATTCACTGGAATACGTTAGCAGAATTGAAAATGATAATTAAAACATTTAATTAAATGATAGTTACAGCCCCCTTTATACAAAATATACGATTTGGAGAATCATTCAACTGCTTTATACAAAAATTATTTATCTGTATTGTAAATAAAAAAAATATGAGTCTCTCCATATTATCCTTAGGCTAAACACTTCCTTTAAAATTTTTGTTTGCAATCGTTTATGGTTTATTAATTTGGATACAAAAATGTCTCTGAGTTTAAATCCAAGCTTGGACATTCTTATTGCAAATAATTAGAAAAGTTTATTTCAAAATTTAGCAAGAATAAACAACTAAGCATTCCAAGTGCAAAGATAGAACATTAATTTTGAAACAGTCGTTATATTGTGTCGAAAATCATAAAATTGTATGGCACAAGTGTAACGGCCATAACAATTTATTTCTGAAAAACTAAAGAATTAACATTCCTAGATATGTCATTAATTATCAAACTGGCGAACTCATCGGTGCAATTGGATGTAGTTTTTCCATACTTAATTGTGATACGATTTGTAAAATATATGTACTATTAGTTCTACTAACACAGTTATTCTATACTTTTTTGGGAAAATAAATCGAATATTTAAAATTTTCGTCAAAAATACAGGAAAAAAAAAATCAAAAAGCTAAGCTCAAGTGAGTTTGTACTGCAAACTTTGTATTACTTGTACTTGAAATATAAACGTATTTGTGGATACTAAAATTCAAAATTTACAAAAAATTGCTTAATGGCAAATTGAAATTTCTTTGTAATTGAACTGTATATTTCTACCAAATAGTTTTTCATGTATAGTTGAATTTTTAGATCATTCCATAATCGTAGCATTTTATTTATATTAATGTTACTCTTCGCATACTACATTTGTTTTAAAAATTTCTCTATGGCTTGCTTATATAGTAAATGTTTTGTTTTTCATTGAAAGTTTATGTATTAAAAATAATTTCACCCTATGATTTAATTAAATTCTTGAAAGAATTTGCAGTCATTATTAAGTTATCTAGAAACAAAAATATGGGTAAGTTAGTACTTACTCTATTTTGTCAGTTGTTGACTATTTTTAAAAAAAAGAAATGAAACAAAAATCTATAAATAGAAATATTAAAAAATTAAAAAGTATAGTTTTACTGATCAATGACTTAGAAATATTTGATTAAAAACTATAGAACATCGATTGTAGGTTGGATTTCATGATAAGCATTGAAATCTTCCAAACTCAGAAATGTCTCGTAAATGTAAATAAAATTTTTATACATAATTTTCAATAGTTTTTAATATTCATGTTATCAAACATCGACTAGTAAATACTTTATGTGTTGGTATTCATCTAACTTATCGAAGAAAGTAAAATTGTTTTCAAACATCAAGTTAGTTTAAAAGATTTCACTATGAATCATAGATAGTGCGCAACTAACTTTTTTTTTAAAAGTTATTGCACGACTTTTTTCCTTCATTAAATCGATTTATTGTTACATTATAAACCGATAAAACAGAACAAATGAATGTGTATATAATTAAGTTGCAATTTTGTGATTGATTCGTTGAATTAAGCAAATTTGAATTGAAATATTATTTTTGAAAACTTTTTGTTATTGAAAATAGTTAATAAATATTGAGGAATAATTTATGAGCATATCTCATCAATAAAATTGAGCGCTTCTGTTCATTTTTAAAAATATTTTTCAATTATATTCAAATCCTTTATCAGGTATTTTTTACATTCAAACGCTTTAGCTACCAGGAATAGAAGTTATATTATTATTTTCTTTTCACAAATAAAAATATGAAATTACAATTAAATCTTTATTGTGTCGCGCTAAAGAACTTTGATGCTTATTACTGATATTAAATATTTGACGAATAAATTAGTACAATAAGTTTTATAAAAATAAAGAAAGAAAAGATTTGCACCTGTCCATTGCAACATTGTGTATAAAAGTAACTTATAAAGAATTATTTTATATCCAATTATTTTAATTTCTGTATTGAGAAAATACCTAATCTAAAGTAAGAGTAAACATTTTTGAATACTGTTGCCGAGATTTTTTATGAATATTTATCTATAAAGCTGCATTCATATTTTAATTGTATTGTTTCCTAGACAGTCGTGTAGATATTTAGAAAAATATTCAGTATAAATCTCGGAAATTTTTTTAAAAATGTTCAATTTTGGCTCTATTTCTGTATTTCCCTCATACTATTTCTCTAATAAATTTATTACGAAGGTTGTAAATATAAAGAATCGAACTATTCAAGTGTAAATAAATTGTTATATATAAATCTATAAAACTGAAAATGAGATAAAGTGATAAAAAAATACATTGATGAAAATAAAACATGTTAAAGTGAAATAATTGTTATTTATTTTCAAATATCCTAAAAGAAATCTATCCTTCGAAAATAATTTACCCCTTTTGTTTGAATTTGCACATTTTATTTTTCAATTTTTTTTCTATTGATTATTATTAAACATCTTTTGTTGCAAAACTATAAAATGCTTCTGCAGTGGATGAACAAACGAATAACTAATCTTAAAATCATGGTTTCCTTCGTCTGAATTAAGTCAAAGTATTTTTATTTTCATGTTTTAAAATAATAACGTCATATTCTATTTTGAAATAATTTTAACCCAAACATTCTATAGTTCGCAAAAAGTGTAATATAATAGTATTCATAAGGATAAGGCTATTTTCCAAGTACATTTAAGTAATGAATTCTTTACTTAGAAAAAAAATCGACATTATTGAAATACCCGAACTAACCTCACGGTTGAACATACTTTGTTTAAACGATGATTGCTTGATTGAAATATTTATGAATTTGACAATCAAAGATCGTTTTATGATAAAAAGAGGTAAGTTTTTGTTAAATGTCATTGAAAATCATTTTAACGAGTGAGTATTATATGATTGAACAGTGTGTAAACGTTGGCACGACGTGGTTGAAATGTCTTGGCGAAATATTAAGAAGATTAATGGGCTTTCTCAACTCTGGGGAATAAATTGGTCTAGAAAAACGGATAAAAAAATTTTGCGCATCTTCCAAGATACGTTGCTGCAATGTGCTTTCTATCTAACTGACATTGACTTCACTGATATGTATATCGACGATGATATTTTAACAATAATCGTTCAAGTTTGTCCAAATTTGATGTCAATAGATACAGGAGGATTATTAGTGACACAGAATGCTTTAACTAATTTAGTTAAAAACTGTCATAAAGTTGAAAAACTTTGTCTTAGTTTCTTTGCCGACGGATGCAATGAAACTCATCTTTCACAGTTTTTAATTCATGCCAAAAAATTGAAGTATTTCAAAATAGTTTGCAATTTCGATGTCACAGGCAGTTTTCTGTACAATTTGTCAACAACAACAATCAGCACCTTAATAGTAAAGGACTGCAAAAATTTAATGATTTCTAATGTTTGTAATGTACGTGCTAATTCTAATTTTTTGTTTTTGTTTTTCTTTAATATATTTTTGGTTTTGCAGGTAATTTCAAAATTCTTGAAACTTCAAACATTCGTTTTGATTTTAACGAATTTTCATTATGAATCTTCAACTTTCGGTTATCAAAAAAAGATAACGTATCTGTCAGAAGAAATTATAACTTTACAAGTACCAAACATTAAAGAAATTGATGTAAATATATACTATCGATTAAAATATTTACAAACATTGAACATTTCTGGGACAAACGTGACGGACGATATTTTGATATCAATATCTATGAATTGTAAAGAATTGCGACATGTATTTTTAAATGGCAAGTGATTATAGCTGTGAAATTCGAGTCACTTTTTCAAACTTAACCGTGATTACTTTTTCGTAGATTGTTTTGCAGTAACCGATTCCGGGCTTGGTGCCATAAGTTCTGTACCCAAGCTACAAACTTTATCTTATGATAACCTTAAGAAAATAACCGGTAGATCCATTACTTATATTCCCTATTTACGCAAAATGTCTTCTTACGGCTGTAGCAATTTGGTGGACGATGGACTCTGTGAGATTCTGAGGACAAATGAAAATCTCGAATTTATAGACGTCGGACAATGTCATAATCTGAGTGTTAATTTTATTAAATTTGCTTCGGAAGCTGTAAGATTACGAACTAATGGAGTATCACTAATTATTTATATAAGCAAATCAATGCGCCACATTATAAAACTTAATTACTCTATTTCTCCGTCTTTACATGTAATGATACCTGTTGATGATCTTAAACACCAGTACACTTAAATTATACACATCGTGATTATTAACTGAACTAATTGATAACAACCAGAAAATATATATTTGATGTTATTAAAATAATATACTCATATGTTGTTACTTCATGTAAGTAGTTTCAGTTTAATTTGTCTGTACTCTTATTAATGTCCAACTGATTCCTGTAATAAAAAAATTTCAAACAAAATTTATACAGAGTCTATCAAATGAATAATTGTTGTTTTTTTTATGTTTTGCCTTTAAAATTTTACAGTTAATATCATGTTCAATCTAAGTAAGCAAACGTTGAAAATTATCTAAATAAAAAATAGTTTACTCAATTCGACATCTTGAAAAATTATTATTTAAAATAGTTGATATTATCAGAAATATTAGCAATGGATCATTAATTTATCGATGCACTAAACAATTGCAGTTTTCAATTCTCCATATACGTCGATTTTATGTTAAACGTCAATTTCTGTAATTTATCAATCAACAAAATATTATAACCTCAAATATAAGTTGATTTTTGATTATGTTGAAAATGTTTTTATACATAAATAGATATTCATAAAGTCCAATTAAAATCATCGATTGACGCGTAATTCTAAAAATGCTTTAAAAGTAAAAAATGTATTTTCCTCTAAAAGAAAACGTTTAGAAAAATAAAACCTTTCAGCTTTACGAAAATGTTTAGTACTATATCTACTTCATAAAAAAGTAAATTTAAAAAACTTGAAAAAAAAATTTTTGCAAGATGTGGGACTCAGCAGCCGGAAGTAAAAATAGTCCCACAAATAATGACCCTTCTTCATCGAGGGATCCTGTTCAGTCGAAGGTGTAAGCTTTAATTCTCATACATTGGCGCTTGGGAAAAAGATTAAAAATATAATTTACTACAAAAAATGTTAAATCGTATGATATTTAGATTCTTATTATGTTTGCCAATAGGGGAAACGTTGGAGCTTTTCTGAATTTAATGAAAGCAACGGCCGGGACTGGTCTACTATTTTTGCCCCATTCCTTCCAAAGAACTGGCTACGTTTCAGGGCTTGTGATCAATTTTATAATGGGTTTTCTAATCATCTATACTTCAATTATACTGGTGAATACAATAAATCATCAAAGCCTTGCATATAACTAATTGAGACCAATAATTTATCCTGTGTAGATAGAGTGCGCTCACATTTTATGTAAACGAGCTCGCGTGCCTACCATGAGTTTCGCCGAAATTTCCGAGGCTTCATTCAAGCTTGGTCCAACGGCTATTCAAAATTACTCGAAAACCTTTGCTACTCTTACTAGTGTGTTTATTTGCGTCGTGCAATTCTCAACGATTGTAGTATATGAGATTTACGTAGCAACATCTATTTCACAGGTGATCTATTTAACGGCATACGTGAATTTTTTGTATATTATAGAGGTACTTATCAGAAATTTGATGCCTTCTGAATGCTGATGAAATTTTATACCTTCTGAATGCAGCTAAAAAACTGCTTTCAGACCATATTTGCCGAAGCAAAAGAGTTAACGTTTAAGTAGATAAACAAAAGCTAACTTATTTCAAAATCATACTTCATGTTCAATTGGAAGCTTCATAATCACTCAAATTTTTTATTAGAATGTTTATAAGTTTGAGTTTATAAGTACACTTTCTTAGAGCTGCTCGGAATTCAGTATGTTTGAAGTAGATTTTATCTTCTGAGTCAACTACTACTAAGCAATGTCAACGTTTATCGAACTTGATGTAAAATTATAAACATACAGATGGTTGACGTGCGGTCTCATTTGGCATCTTCTTTCGTTGCGGCCGTAATGCCTCTGTTTCTGGTTCTTGCTACGTTACCGGATCTAACCTGGATCACACCCTTCTCAGCGCTCGGATGGTTTGGCTTCGTCACCGGCTTCTTCAGCAGCTTTTATTTTTTCCTCTCGGACGTCGTGTTTCTGGCCCCCGAATTGCAAGACGAGCACATAGAACCATTCTTCTTTCCGGTATACTGCTGCATATTTCTCTTCTCCATGTACAACTTGTCGGTTCTCATACCTTTGGAAAACAAGATGAAGCATCCTAGCAAATTGCCAGTGATTTTATTCATCGTTATGATGATTTGCGTGATTGTCAACACCATTTTTGCCTTTTTGGGGTACAACAAGTATCCAAAAACATGCGACACTGTCATCAAAAATTTACCCAAATCTGATTCGTAAGTTTCATCATTATTACGCAATAAGAATAATATAATATTATGAACAGTGTTTATACCCTAATAAAGATGTGACATAAATTATCATGCAAGCGCTTGACTCGAACTTTTATAAGATATTACGTAAAATCTTATGTATGATTATCGACGGTAATAGTTCTTAAGTAAATTTTTATGTGAGAACTAGTTCAACTTGAAAGCCCTAAATATTTAAGTAATTTCTTGCACCAGAATTTAAGGTGGAACTTATGTAAAAGTTTATGTCAAGTCTCGTTAAGATCGTCATTAAATGTATTTCGTGTGGACTCTGCGTAAAAAGTGCATGAATTCCATTTAGAATCAGCGTGGATCATTTTTGTAGAAATCTGCTAAGATTTTTCGATCTTCTCTTAAAATCTCAATTCCACGTATCTGTTTTCACAGAAAATAATCAAAAAATCTTGGCAGATTTCTATAAAAATGATCCACGCTGATTCTACATGTAATCTATGCACTTTCACGCAGAATCCACGCGGAATCTGTGTGGAAAATCCACGTAAAAATCCACGCAATTTTTTTCAATTGGGTTAACCCCTCATAAAGTTCTTATGCAAGAAATAACACTTAGAGCTTTTGAGTTTAACCAGCTTTCACTCAAGAGTTTACGTAAATAATCACTTAAGAACTTATACTATAGATAGTCAAATGTAAGATGTTACATAAATCTTATATAAGTTCTTGTCAAGAATTTGCATTTGAGCTTATTCAATATTTTCATTGGGGTATGGCAAGGATGGTACCCGTGAAAACAATCCGTAAAATTTAGTCATGAAAATAAAAAGTTGTGATTGTTAGATTGGCGCTATACATCAAAATTGCTATTTGCGTGTCGGTCGTCTGTACTTGGCCTATTCAGTTTTACGCATTATATTCGACAATGTGGCCAATGATGAAAAATCGATTACCCGATAAGTGGACCATTAAACTGATTTTTCGTTTAGTTGTTGCTCTAATCAGCTGTAAGTTGTGATGACGAATAATATAACTTTGCGTCATGATGAAACTAATATTTTTGTTTTTAGTATTAGTGGGTGTTGCTATCCCGAAGCTGTCTCTTATTCTGGGACTATTCTCTACTATTGGTATGACTTCTATGGTACTTTTGATTCCAATCTTAATTGAAACAGCTACTAAATGGGAACACCTTAGCAGCACGAGACGCATCTTAATGTCTGTCAAAAATTTGTTCATGATTTTCGTTTGGTTTATTCTTTTAGTAAGTACATTGATTAGTTTTTATTCCCATATCCTTATTATTTATCCTTGGTATATGAAAAACGTCGTACACTTATCAGGAAACATATTTTTACATTTTATGACATTCAAAATGTTATAAATCATATAAACATGTTATATGAGCAGTGGGCATGATTTTTTTAAATAAAACATTTTCTTTTAAAGAAGCAATGAATTTTATATGTAGATCGGGGAGTTCTTTGTTGTATCGTATCCATTGTCTTGGTATTCTCATTTACAATGAATAAAATACGTAGCAAAAAAGAATTACGATGATTCGCTAACAAAGGCAATGCAGACGTATTGCATAATATAGAAGCTAAAATGAGATTGAGGTTTCTGCAGACTTGTATGCATGTACTTGTATGTTTTAAATTGTCACTGAAATGCATCAATCAATTACAGGCATTTGGATTGTACCAAAACATCATGGACTTGGTGGAAGAATTTACAGGCCAAAAACAGATCGAATTTGATGATATTTGTTAGAGCTAATCGGCAGCACTTTCAGCCAGATACATGAAGCTCACTTATAAGTTCAGTTTTCCGAAAAGGTGAAAAGAGACTCCAAAAATAAAAAGAAACAGAGAGAGAAAGAGAGAACATTCACAGGTTTTTGGACATATTTGTGCTGTATTATAGAAATTACACTAAGATAAACTGCAAAAATTATAGTGGTGATAAAAGGATCACACAAATTCCCAATGAGTATGCAAACTGTAATAGGAAGAGCAAAATTAATTGAAAAGATGCTTTTATTTACTGATTATAAGACTATGAATTTACGCTCGCGTGAATGCGGATCTTATGTTCTCACTTTAATATTCATACATCGTATGTATATCACTCCAAATTAACTTTATACCTTATGTTGGATAAGTTATTGAATCATGAAGAGTCAATTGAATCGCCTCTCATCATAATTTATGTGTGCGTCTTAGCCCACCGATTTTTCACTCACATTCATCGCCTTGTACTTATCGCATATATGCAGTATGCTTTCTCAAAATAAGAGAAAAATACGCAAGTGATTTTTTAATAATTTTTTTTTACATCTGTTCATCATAAAAGTTCTCGTAATGATCATAATATTTACTTTTGATTCGAAGTTTGAAACATTACAATTTTAATAAGCTTAGCTGACGTGCGTGAATTTTTCGTGTCCAATTACTGTCGCGTCGTAAAAAGCGATTCGCGCTAATCTTATTACAATTAATGTTATCGTGTCAAGTATTTGAACTTACCAACATATTGTTTGTTAATTAAAATTGTTGAACTGAATAGAATAAACATTCGTATGCAAAATGAAAGCTGTTTTGGATTGATACGTAGCAAATTATAGTTAGAATTTTATATTAGAACTCAGTTTTGACGAGTTCTGACTGATGAGTTAACTCGAGATTTCTGACGGCTCTTGATTGCTGATTATTAAAATAAACGTATAAGTAGAAAAACATGCGTTTGTACAACAAATTTGCAAATTCAAAACAATTCGCAAATTTGGAGGCGTCCATAAAATTACATAGTACTCTTTTCAGTTAAGGTTGCACACGTAAAAAGCAGTTCAAAGATCTTCATTTATTTTGCTGTAACATCATATCGACTAAATGCCGTGCTTATTGTAACCTGAAAATAAATAAAAAAATACACTCTGCTTTTTAGAACTCAAAAAACTGAAAATATTTGACGATAAGTCATTTTTTTTATCTTTAACGCCTCTAGTTGATATTTATGTATCATTTTGATGCATTGTACGAATGAAAAGTTTTACTGTATAATTTCATGCAGTATGGATTTACAATGACAAAAAAGGCCAGTTGCTCTTGCTTAATCGTCGAGTAATTTAGTTGAAAAAACCTGTAAACAAATGAGTAACGAGTACGCGCTTCTTCAATGTGAAGCGCAATGAGCCAATTAGTATTCGACTGTTGCCGAAGACTAATTAAGGATAAATTATTACGTATATTAATGTGTAATCCAGTTAGAATCTGAGACAAATTCTTTAATAAAGAAACGTTAGAATAAGCGAATAAATCCAAACTATTTGTAACATGGTGTTTAGAGTAAATAAAAAAAAATATCGAAACCAAAGAAACTAGTACATGGATATAAACATTGACAGCAAGGCCAAAATGTGTAAAAATTGTTAAGGATATCGAAATGGCGCATTGTTATGCTAATTACTTAAAAAATTAAACGTAGAAACTTCTTGCGGATGACCTCGCACCTTCCGACTTATCGCGTTGATGAAAAATTGTACATATCAAGAGCACTGAATTCTTTTGTCGTAGAGACATTGAATGACATAAGCAATGGTGTTGCTGTGCGCGTCGTGTTCAGATGATAGATCGCTAGTGGCCGTATCCTGCATGCTACTGTGCATGTTAGAGACTCGTAACTAATAAGATATTTAATAGCGTCTGGCCAGGAGATAAAAAATTGGCCGACCTCGTGAAAATATGAGATCTACATCGGTATCCGCAATAGCCGTGCATGTGAGAGAGAAAGGCGAAAAGACGTCGCAGTAGCTCGAGAGAGTGAAAGGAGGGAGACTCGGACAAAACAGTGCATTTTCGCAGCCGCCGCAACGCAAAGGAACGAGGATAATAGCAGTGCAGTGCACCGAGCGAGCACGTGTGCATGTGACCGGTGGCAGCAGCAGTAGCACAGCTATGGAAACGTAATTAACCAGAAAAAAAATTTACACAGTAAGAGCTCTGGCAGCTATTACGTAAAGGTGTCTACATTCATGTATCTGTAATAGAGAGCTGCGCAGCCGATATTTGCTGGATGGAATAGACGCTGACGATGGCTCGCGATGTGGGTCAGTTTTTTCAATACGTTCTAATGTGCTCTTCGAGCCGCTACCTCACTCGTTTGCCATCATGCAAAGTAGTAACGAGTCGCGCGCTTGAAAATCAGCGAGCGTCGAATCCTTCCTGTATGCGCACCCTTCAATGTACAAGTTTCAAGTAAAAGACGTGTTTTATTCGAGGGATGAGAGAGCTTACGTGTGCTTGTGAGATTTTCTCTGGCAGCTTCATGCTCTTTTTGTCTGGCTTTTATCCTTTGAGTTTTGCCTTTAGTTGCCGCTTAATTGAGCATAGGTTGGTATCAAGTACATACGTTATGCATCGAATGATTCTACGTGTCTACGCTAGTCGAGGCTCTAGCTATGCCAACCGATCGAACTGTTGTTCTTATTGGTATGCATCTAAATCTAGAGTCAACTCCTGGTACGACAAGTTCATGTTTGAGTTTGTAAAAAATTCATTCGCCTGGATCGTTTCATTGATAACAAAATCAAATATTTCAGCTGTTTTGCACGGTTACAACTGAATCGCATTATTTTTGCGAAACGGATTATATTCATGCTTCTTACTACCCTTTCTTTCTGAAATACACTTTTCTTTCCTTTCTGCAATTATCCTTAGTGGTTACCCGCGTCGATACATATGCAAGCTTACGACCTTTTAAGTTTCGTTAAAAACATAATTATAAAATCGAACGCCAATAGACTGTTGAGTCCATCTTATACACAACGTACTAAAACATTTACTTTGTTTTAGCGTTTACATATCTCTTTCAGGAAAAACTATTAACTTTTTTATTTCATATCAAGAATATTATTTTTACGCAGGTAAGCGCAATCTTAAAAGTTATTGCATCGACATATTGCTTACTTTAAGTAGTTTGGAGTTTTCAGAAAACGATTATTTCACATAGATGATCACGTTAAATGATAAAGAGTAAAGTGTAGGTTTTAAATTTCTATCTAGTTTGATAGTAATTTTTTTAAATGAATTATTATTGTTCGAGACTTCAAGACTTCTTGTGCTTTATTAGTATGCCAGAATATTTATGAAACATCATTCAACGAGCAGTAAATCTGTTGGTAAATTTGAAAAATAGTTCAGTTAAAAAACACTTTTCCAATCAAAAATATAAAATATTAATGAAATACCGAATTCTGCATAAAAACAACGATTTTCAAACCTACTTTCTAAATTTTGACATCTAAAGATTTAAAAAACAGATATGACCAAGTTTTCATTTGAAAATTTTAATTGAAAATGCATGTTATTACACAAATTTCAGTTCTTTTGGGCTCGACCGTCTATGGCGATTATAATTCACTGCAAATTAAAATAATAGTCAAGAAATTAAAAGTCAACAATTAAAATTCAGCAATAAGTTGAGTCTGAAATTTCATTAAGAAAAGAAGAAATGATGAAATGTGGACAGAAATTTCCTTGTCAGTTTCATCATGAATCTATCAAACATTTATCTACATATATCATTCAAATTGACAATGGTATGGTATTTTCAATGAGTACGTATTATTAAAGACATTTAATCACAAGACGAATAAATAATTTAAGAATTTAAAATAAAATTATTCGATTGTTTCAAAATGTTTAAATAAATGATACTTTGTTGGATTTTTGGTATGATATTTGCACTTTTTGCAGTTATTACTGGCGATCGTAGCGCATTAGTTGTATTGCTATCTCTACATTCCTCTTTGTACTCGTAATACAATTTGGAATTCCTAAGATATTATCATTTAATGCATATAAAGAATAATAAAACGTTTCACTTGTTCTTGCTCATTCAAATAACAAATAAAAATAATCGGATAATGATTCGGTGACTTGGTAGATCGAATGAACGTAAAAACCAAAAAATGTTTGTATACAAGGCGTATATATTTTTAAATTTCTAGGGTACAACTGGGTTATACAAGCTTTTCACTGTATCGTCACTGCGACGGTAAAGTTTACTATGACTTTTCATCGTTATCAAAATAATTGAGCTATGCAAGAAGTATGGGTAGCGCTTGGAAAAAAAATTTTTATACCACATTATCGATAATCTTGAAAATGTTCTAGCTTATACCATATAAGTATGCACATATATGCGATGGTGGTTTTTAGATCGTGATCCGAGTAAACTGCTCGTTATTTTATTTTGCATAACGAAAATTATTCTACTAAAATTCAAATCTTATGCTCGAAATGAAAAAATAAACACTGCAAGTTTGAAAGTTGCCGATAAACATTTCCTTTAGATTGCGGTAGTAGATGGAACAATCAATATAAACGAGATAAGTATAGATTTCAATCGGCTTTTTTAAACGTTGTCAGAAATCAGATTGCCTAGTTTCAGTACCCTCAGCTGTGTCTTGCAAGTACGTTAATAAAACATCGATACACACAGCCAGAATCATATATCCTTATCAGTTATATTTAATTGTTCATACGATGATGCAACAATTGGCTGTTTTTGCTCAAAAATCGCGTTTATGAATTATAACGACGATCCGAGGCGATCATGGTCACGTGCTACACACAACACATTAGATACGTCTTTTCTTGGATAAAAATAAAGCAGCTCGTGGAAAAAGAAAAATTTCGACTTTGTCAGTTCGTTAGAAGAAGAATCACATTTTTTTAGCGGTACGAGAGATACATTTACGGAGCGAGCGATCGGATATAAAAAATTTTCCGCTAGCAAGTCTCATCGCGGAAATAACGCCCATCGAACGCATATCCACGAGTACCAATTGAATAAAACACCGATTAGCTCTACTAGCAATAAGATAGTAGCATTATTAAAATAGTAAATGTACAATGGGAAAAGAATTAAAGTGCACTTAACTTTGCCGTAAAGCGGCGATGCACAGCGCATTGACTCGAGCGCGTCAAGGAGCTCGTTCTAGTCGACTTATGGTTTGCAGCGTTTGATTCCGTCAGAGGTTAAAAATTCGATGATTTTGCGCGAGACTCGGAGACACGATTATGCGCGGTATGCGCCACTGTAAGCAAGGATAGGAGACTCGCAGCGACTCCGGACAATTACGCCGATCGCATGCCTTGACGTATAAGCAGGCGATAATATATTGTACAGACATTGCGGCTTACGCATCAGCGCGTCTGTTTATTTCATTCTCGACAATACATACCTAGGTATACATAAGCGCATCGGTCATTAGCATAAATTAAAAGCGATGAGCGCATAAGGTCGCAAAGAAAATTGCGCGCGTTAGGCGTCGGAGTGTCAGGTGGCAGCGCGGCTGTCTCGGGAAAGGTCCGACTTGCCTCGGCGAGGTCGTGCGTCGTTGCAAGCTGGCTCTGGAAGTAGTACGAGCGGCCAACGCGGCGGCTCATGCGTCGTCGCTCGATGCGCTTTGTTTACAAATGAGCAGCGAGACTTTTCTCCTTCCAGCCGAGAGCGCCGACGACGAGTCGGCACGTGCGGCTGCCTGCCCTAGACGCGCCAAGTTGGCATGTGCCCGCCTGCGTGGGTGCCCGAGTCGACGATCCGTGACTCGTCGCAGCTCGCGATGCTTCACGCACACTACGACTCGCGATCGCGCCTGTGCGTGAAAATCCTTCTACCACCTCTACTCGAGCGACCGATCGAAGCTTATGCGAGCTGCCGATCGGTGGAGGGCCTCGGTCGCGGCTCTCGGCGCAATCGGTGTGCGTTGCTCTATCTGTACGTGTGTGTGTGTGCGCGTGCGTGTGAGCATGCGTTTATTATACCGAGTGTATATAAAGAGCCGTGTAGTGTATTGCGTCGCGATCCAGCGCAGCCCGCGTCAAAGTCGGGGTACCTAGTGTCAGTAGTAGCAGCAGCAGCAGCAGCAGCAGCAGCGGCTCTTTATAACACCTATAGAGCTGGCTCTCCGACAGACACCTTCCGACACTCGTTCGCGCAACGTTCCAGCTGCCTATTCTCCTCTTTCGATCTCTGCGTACCGTGCGCGGCACTCTGTCTGGTGGCCGGTCTGCCATATACACACCTACTGTACGAGTGTGTACAATACTCGACACATTCACCTTTTTACCCGAAAGACTCGCCAGTACTATTCTATTTCGGCCCGCGACTTCAAATTTGAAAGTAATTTTTCAAGGATTTCAATCGCTCCGTATAAAGGCCAAATAAAGCGCGCCAGTGAGTAGTAGTGCCATACATGCGGATTGTAGCTGTTGTAAGCGCTCCGCAACAGCTTGTTGCTGCACACACACACACACCTCGTTGCACCGACCGTTTATCTGCTCTCGACCGCACCGAGAAAGGCCAACTGAGGAGGCCAATCGTATCTTTACTCGAGCTCTGGGACATTGGTCCATTGGTAAGTAGCTTCGTTATTATTTATTGATTCGCGCAAAAAAGCAGACATCCCGAACGATCGTTTCATTTTTTCCTTTTCGTATTTCGTATGTGCAAGCCATCGAAAATTGACCATTACGTAAATGCTGCAGCGGTAGCTACGCGTACGCGAGTACAAAACCATCGTTTTTACGAGGTCAATCATTACTTCGTTTTTCATTTACATTATATCTCAACCGAGTGAGAATAACAATGTGAAAGGCGCACTTTTTAAAGTCGAGCAGTTTGCCGGACTTGCGTAAATCAATCTCATTACATTTCTTATTACATTTTTCATTACATTCGTGGCTCCACTGGAGTTTATGCGAGCTAGCTAATTTTCCCTTTTTCAGCACTTTTCGCTTCGAAACGGTCTAAACTTTCAGTGCAAAACGATTTCTCAAAGATCGGTCGAAAGCAGAGTTTTGTTTCTTGTCCGCTGCCGATCTCGAGCCTTTGAGCAGCTAGTTGCGATTAAAAGGACGATCGGGACGAGCTCACGGCCGCAGTTAGTAGTGCATACAATTTAAGGGTAAATCGTAGCTACGTGTAACTTTTCGCACGTGTTGAAAGAAAAATTACATTGAGAGCTGCAGCGAGCAGTATTTGCGAGACCATGATTATGAGAAGAGCACGGGTATTGTGCGATTTTAATTGCTGCCAGGCTCTAGTCGAATTTAAGCGCAAGCAAACACCTTCGGACCTTTCTCAATTCGCAAGGCTATCCATGACTTCTCTTATCTTCTTGTGCGTGCAATCAATGAAAAGAAATCTTTTGTCGCTGCTTTGCCCGGCCTGCACTTATGTAAAAGTCTCTTTACTCGACCGAATATCCGTACTTGAGCGTACAGTGCGCAGTGCGAGCATAATTTGCACACTCGGGTGCGTTACACTTGAGTCATTATCGTTATAAAAAAACAAGAAGAAGAAGAGAATGTTACGCAAGGTAAAATCGCACGCCGGCATAACATTTACAGCTGGATCGTAAGTGTATGCGCCCATGCACGTATGTATAGATAGAAATAGATAGCGCTTCGATTGTCATGGCGCAGTCGAGAGCAGAGCTCGGTCCGGTGCAGCCTACAAGAGGCTGTAGCGCGCGCGACGTCGATGACTTTGTGGATGCTCCTCGCGTGATTTATTCGCTTTAGCCATTGCTAAATAATTGCGAGCTATTTTTCTCCGAGTACGCGTCGTCATTGGCGCATGTTGTTGCCGATGGGCACGATGCTGTTTGCTACCAAGACACCATAATGCAAGGCGCCGACGCAGCGGAATGCGCGACTCGGGCTCCACATAATACATGGCATCCTTTTAAATGCGTACACTTGCGCATTAGCCTATCGTGCGCAATGCGCGATGCTCATCGGAGATAGAGGGCTTTCGTAATCATCGGAGAAGCGATCGCGCCTGCGATTCAAGATTCACGACGTTCTCGGTGAGATCGCCGCCTGCCTGTAGCTGGATATCGAGTTGGAATAAGCCATACATTGTAGCCATACGCCGTAGCAGAGCGGATAGTCTTGCTCGTCGATGCGACAAGGCCATGTAAAGTTCACCAGTGCATCAAGCTTCGATAGCTGGGCAATCGAGCTACGACTGTGATCAATCAACATTCTAACATCGAGATGTCACGATCATCTCATCGTAGTTTATAGTAATTTCAACCGTGCGCCTTGACTGCACGACACGTATGAAAAAGCGTAAGAGCGACAATGTTGAGGTAGCGCGTATCTACTGCTCCAGCTCTGCTGTTTATGTTTACACACACACACACACACACACAGTGACACATTCAAGGTGTCGCAGCAGTACGCGCGTGCTTGCGTCCCTCAATGATCACAAGTATTCAAGTTATTTTTGCCGACCTGACGAAAGTATCTTGAAGATACAAGCTAACGAATCGATAATTCAAATTGAAACCCTCGTTCACATTTTTTTGACAAACAAGCATTTTACATTTCATATTTTCCCCGACTGCATTTTCATCATTCGTGCGCATAGACCTTTTTCCTTTTCAATATCACGTATTCTCGGATGGTGTCAAAGCATTTGGATATTTCAATATTTTTTAATCGTAACATAAATCGATTTCGGCTAAACGATGAGCGTGACGTATGCAATTATAATTCATATTTGACTTTTAAAATTTTTACCAATATATCTCTTGTATTTATTACCAAGCAGTGTATTATCGCTCACATTCAATAATTGCAACCTTCGAGCAATAAGTTCCATTATAAAATAGTTTGCAGATCCTCGACAATCATATTGTCTGCATTTATTATGCGTATATTATTTGAAACGGAAGCAATGGCTGCGAAATTTTCCAAGTTTAAATGTTCTTTATTTCTTCTTGAGCCTGCGGATTTGAGTTAATATAGCCGTTCAAACACAAACAATGAATGTTCGTTTAGCGGAGGATCCGCATAATCAAAACTTACACTCAATTAAAACTTGCTCGTTGATCGACCCAATAAATTCTTCGCCCGATTCTGATAAATGTATACAATTGGAAAAAGAAAAAGTAGTTTCGAGCTCCGCCAGCCTCTCACCACGACCCAGTGCGGAAACGTCGACTCACGACTAGTTGACTGGGCTGATGCGCATCAGCTACTGAAGCTCGTCCAGCCAGAGCGCCTCCGGAAAAATCTCAACGCGTTGCCATTTTCACCGCAAATTGAAGCTTGATCTATCCATAATCGGATGTTTTGATTGACCATATATAACGTAATTTAACTGGGTTGCGGGCCCTCATTTTTTCCTACTCTATTAATCTTTTTCATAGATCACGCGACCGAGCTTGCATCTATGACGAACTCGAGGTGATGCAAACTGTGCCTGTAATATATCTGTTCTCATTCAAGATGTTTGCGAAACGAGGCGTGCTCGGGGACATTTATACTCTCACCTGTGTAAAAATCGGTATGTTGAACCGAATCTGAATGAGCAATGTTGGCTTCAAAGTTCGATACGCACTGCAATTCGTATTGAAGAACCATTTAAATTTCTCAATGATTGTTGTAAATCGCAATATTGTTCACATTGTAATTCTGTACTGTCTTGTCAACATAGAGATAAAATGCAGCTTTTTTCAAGTTCGAATTTTTGAGTAAATTGTATATGAAATTTTCACGCCCGCGTTGAGCGACGGTTTTTGAGTGAACTGCATTTAAAAAGTTAACAGAATGTTATCGAATGGAAAATTTTCTAACCAGCACGTGTACGCAAAAAGAGCTTAGATAATCAGAATCTTCGTTTATATAAACACAATAAAGGCACATATGGTAAAAGAGCGCAGAAAGAAGCTTGAAATCAGCATCTTTGTGTATACAAATACGAGGAAGGCGCTTGTGGCAAAAAGGTCTGTGCCGCTTGGAAACATGATATTACTTTCATCTCTCGAGTATATGATACGCGCATTCTTGATACAATTTATGATTACATAAACACAAACAGAAAAAAAATTATTCATCATCGCAGCTTTGAATTTTCGATGCACGAATTAGTAAACTAAATATCGCGCAGTTGAATTCCACGACGAAAGTAGCAAGCATTTTTACTTACTTATTCTTTCTGAAAATTATGTTTCTATGTATCAGTACCAGCACATTAGCACAGGCATTTGCACGTGAAAGAGCCTTTATATTGGCGCCGGAATTGGCGGCGTAGAAAAATTGTTTACTTTCCCTTTGCATTATGCATCCTCGTAGAAAGTTCATATGTAACAATTATTTGTACGTACAATAAATAAGCTGCAAGATCATCAATCAGTCTTCGAAAGACAAAACAACGCGAATACAATACGACATTTTGCACACATTATAAGCACAGCACTTCCGTCATCCACATCTTGGCTCAATGCCGATATGTTGAAGTGAACATCTATGAGAGAGAAAGTTGGGCACAAAGTGCAAGTGCACACAGCACACTCCCGTGCATCATTCAATCGTTTTTATTTTAAATAATCCGAACCAAGGCAACTAGTTTAATAGACAGACATTCACTAAACGATATCATCTTCTCCCAATTTTCATTTTCAATCCACCAGTCATTTTTTATTCAATAATAATTTGCAGACAACGGATTTTGTGCATTTTGGTTCATAGTAACTTTATAGTTTATTGGTAATTTGAACATTTTAGATGGAGATTAAAATTATTTCCACTTGATGAACAATCTTGATAATCGAAATTTGCATAAAGTAATGCATGTACATTGGACGCAATATATTCTATCTTATTTCTGAATGTCATTATACCAGTTCATCTGTAGAAGAGTATTTGGAGTACACGCATACTTCATTTGTACCGAGATATTTAACATGAAATATAGAGATGAAGTAGTGAGGGTGATGATTACATCAGGGGTGGATATTAGCGATAAGAACAAGGATACTGTTGCAGACTGGCCGCTAACGTGCGCGTAAGAACATCATCGAGCACGCGCAGAAACTTTCCACGAGCGAACCAGTTTTTCAATATTATGAGTAACATGCGTTGGTAGATCCGCTTGTACGCGCGTATGTGAGTATTACACTGTGCAGTTCTTTATTCGTTTTGGTCATTCATAGTGTTTCTCTTGGCCCTCACCACGTATGAGAATTGTGACATGCGCGTGTCGAAGATGAAACGAGTTTCTGAGAAAGAAAAAATTGTTGATTTTTTTGGAAACAAGTTTCCACTGCCGTTGTTGAAACACAATGGGGTATTACTGAAGATAAGATATAGTTGATTATATTTCATTATTTTTGAAAGTATACGAAGGAAAGACTCATTATTCCATCGTTTATGCAGTATTAAACAAAAATCATACAAAATTTTATGAAGATCGAATGAATGTATAATTATTGGGTTTATCTAGTTAGCTATTTGAACTTTTTAAATAGTAAATAAGTCTAAAATGAATCAAATCAGCACATGAGATAATACTGACGGAGATCGGAGTGTCAAGTGCCGATTGTGTGTTTGTTTAGATTCTTGGTACAAAAATAAATATACCAACGATTCGGAGGTGCACCCATTCGTACGTTGTAAGTGAAATTCGTGGAGTGAACTTAATGTTATAATACTGACAATTGTTTACAACTTTTTGTCAAACTAATCAAGAATATTTCAGTATAAACAATTTTTAGCTCGTAGTCTTCTGATAAGGTGCGGATGTATGTTTGAAAAGTGTCTTAACGTACATCTTATTGTATACAATTCAATTTTTTCCAGTGAATTACGTACGCTAAATGAAAACATTCTACGGCAGCTATGTTGATAATTTATCGATAATGAGTCGTATTATGATATCATCATAAAAGCGTTCTCTTCTTGCAGGTCATTCAATTTTTTATCGAGAACTTGAAACTTTTTTTCAATTACATCAAATGAATAAATTAAATTAATTTCGATTTCGACCAAGTTAATGATCTTATTTCAAGGTAGTCAAATTAGCTTGTGTTTTCAATAATCAGAAACAAAAAAATAATAAAACCTTCAAAATGAAAAGTAAATATACTGTATGATAACAGAAAAGTTTTAATCCAACCGATTTATTAAGCTTAATTGTCGAGATAAAGATTAGTTTTATCTTCAATCTTTTGTGCATGATGACATTTTTTAGTTTAGCAATATCAGGCTTGAATTGTGTATCCTGAATTTAATTTTCATTATTTTTATTCAAATATCAATACTGTAACAAATATATCATTATAATTAGCAGGTACCATTACCCATTATTTTATTATAATGTTATGTTTCTTTAGGTTCATCATAATGAGTAAAAATCAAGAAGCTAATGAATACATTGGAGAACAGATGAAGGATTTTAGTAGCACGTAAGTGATTTTTTTAATCGTAATTACAATTAATTAAGCTACAAATTTAAAGAAAAAATGATCGTTTTTAATCTCAAAGGGAGGTTTTCATCTAGAGACCCAAAAATTACGTAATTTCCGCGATTTTTTTCATATGGAAAGAAGTAAATAAAGTAATCAAATTTTTTGGTACTTATTTGGTATATATTGAATGATTTTACAAATTTTAATGAACGAAAATATGGAATAAATTATTAGTCATACGAATTCATACATAGTCATTGAAGAAAAGACGCCACTATGGACGGCAAGGTAACGCATAAAATTTTTGTCTTAAATTAAAAAATCAAAGTTTTTTTATAAAGTAGAAGACATTTATTTGCTAGATTTCGAACTGAAATCATTAAAAAAGGTAAAAATTAATAGTATTGCGAACTTTAAGAAAAAATGACTTAGCCCTTTTTTGCTCTAAAATAGTTACATTTCAATCTTGACTTAGAACTTAGAATTCGAATTTGCGTACTAAATTCTAGGAGACAATTCTTGAAATTGCAAAGTAATTCGAAAATACAACAACAAAACAATCAATTTTTTGGTCATGCTTGAAAAGAACCTCTCTTTAATTCAATTAGAATAGTATATTTTGCACCTAGGGAGTGAAAAACTGGAAAGTCTCAGAGCACGTGTAATTTATCATCCGAGGCGAAGCCGAGGCTGATAATTACACGTGCTCTGAGGCTTTCTTTTTCGCTTCATAGGTGCGTATACTATTTTTCATGAATCCCCCAGCAGAAATTAACTTTTTCGTTTTGGCCGCCGGGACGAAAAAGGTTAGTTTCGGCTGGGGTAGCATGAAAAAAAAATATTTAAAACTAAACGAATCAACATAAAATTGCCTCAATTTTGTAGGACAAAAATAGCTCCAGCCATCGGTAACTACCACGAGAAAGATGAATTATATGATCCATTTGATCACAGAGATAAAACAAACGCTACATCGTAAGTAGAGAAGTCATTTTGAGTCTTTCAGCATGTTTTTATGGTACTAATACTAATAACATTAAATCGCGATACACACGTGTATAAACTCCAATAGTATTTCAAAGTAGTAGATAACAAGTATAATTTTTTTTTTCATGTTTCATATTAAACGTACTGAGCTGAGCATCTGTAAACCAATTATAAGATTCCTTGTATAATTTTCGAATAGGCTCATTTTTTATAGGGTGACTGTACTAATAAGCGACTATTTTGATTAAAGTCATGAAAACGTTTGGACACGTTTTAAAATGATTTAAATAGTATTTTTTCTAATAAATCAACGGAAATATATCGTATTAATAAGTGTCGAACTATTAGTGCAAAACAAGCAAGACCAACTACTTTTTTCAAGACTAACTACTAGTATTTTTTTTAAATTAAAATTAAGGTAATAATAAATAGTAAAATGTAATATACTCGTAAACAGATTTGCGAGTATATTCAACTTTTTGATTGTCAAAGTAAAAAATGTATTTATTTGTTATAATTTCATAAGAAAATGGCTGAGTATTAGAATATCACTTCTAAAGTAGCCGATCAGTAGAGTCACTTTAAGTTTATATGCTTATCAATCATTATATTATATCAAATAGGCAGAATGATCTGTTGCAATTGTTAGTCTTATTTGTATTCACCTGAACCGCTGGGTGCGTCCAAGAAATTTCATTTTTCTTGCTGTATAGGCACTGATAAACTCTCTTGATTAAAATTTAAACTCTGCGGCAACGTATGATGATTGCATAAAAACAAAAACAAAAGAATAGCTGACGCATATTTTTTTAAATGTTAAGAGATGTAACCCGGAAGGCGGTATTGACTCAAATCTCATATCTTTAAGATCTGCAAATAGGTTGAAAATAACATTAGCTAACCAAATTTGTTTCTGTATGGATTAAAAACGATGAAGGGCAATTTTTCACGAAATAAGTGATTAAAAATGAAATATTATAGTGTCAAAAAATTAAATAATTTGAGAACCATTGTAGCCCCCATGCAATGTATATATTATTGACAATAAAATTTTAATAAATCGTATTTCTGAAAACAATGAGAACAAATATAATTTAATACTAAGAGAGGCAGAAACATATGAAAAATGATTGTTTCTTTTTGTACAACAACAAGGATTAACCATCACGTTTAGAGTGTAACAATTAATGATTAATTTTGAAAAATTTCAGTTGCGAAAAACGTAAAAAATATGATGTGCACTAATCACACGATCAAGGTTAAAGGATATTTTTTGGAAAAGTTTATGAATGTTTATGCGCTTGTGGGGGGTGCATAAGCTTACGAACTTGTCGCGTATCCTCGATTCAGCCAAGGTTGCGTGCGTCAATCAGGCGCTTTAGCTACGAGCAGCAATTCATATAAAATCCGCTTGGCCGCGACCTCAATATGTATATGAGCAGCACTATAGTTGAATGCGTGTACGTGCACAATATGCATTTATTATCACTATGATGCGAGTGTCTACACAATAAAAAAGGTTTCTGGCGTTTCTTTTTATTTTTCTATTTTTATTTTTATTTTCACGGTAAAAATCAGTTTTAAATTTATTTAACTTGGCACAAAAGTACGAACGCCACTTGTGACGGATGTTTGGACGTGGTACGGAAACGGAAAATCATTCACAGATTCTCGCGTAAACTATCATATACAATGTCGTGATAAGCATAACGTAAACACATTGAAGGCGTATTTTAAAGGATTATACGTCAAGTCTTTTTGTAATGCATCCATAATGAAATATATCGTTAGCTTTTCTACTTAGTATCAGCGATAACAATGTGATTAAATTTTTTGCCTAGCCTTAAAGTTTACGCATAGTATGTACATTAAGAAAATATCGTAGTACTGTTCGACAGAAACCACTTTCTTTTTTTCTCTCTAAAAACAACATTTATTAATAAAAATTTGAAATCACTATTATCTTAAATTTGGTAGAAGAATACTACTGTATTGTGAGATTTTATCTAAGTATAACTATACTTTTTGTTGTGCAATACGTTTAGAAGAATGCATTACTGCAATGATTAATAGAAATTTAAAGATTGTTTAAGAAAGATTGCTAAATTCCAAGTGTGGAAGAATAATGAATAATGAAAGTGTGTAATTATTTTTCTAATCGATAATTAGTTGACAGTTTTTTTATTGAAACTTACAAATATGGTTTATGAATTCAATCTTTTCAGACAAAGTTGATGAGATGCTCTATGAATTTGACAGTATATATGTCTGAAATTTCTAATTTAGTTTTTACGATACTTTGGTCTGTGTTTGGGTTCTAATGATTTAAATCCATTTTAATTAAGGAATCAATTTTATTTGCAAATTAATAATTTATTATGTTCCATATCCCACATTGTTATATTAAATGTCTCACTTTTGTACCAAGGAACGTATACGACTTTTACATACCAGCGGCCCGAAAGTAGCAAGCCGCTGCGCTAAACGGGATATAGCTATTTTTGGGCCCGGGGTTTGTAAAATCGTATACTGGCCTATACCGGGAAAAAAGAAAGCCTCAGTGCACGTGCTAATCAACCTCGGCTTCGCCTCGGTCGCTTATTTCACGTGGCCTGGGACTTTTCTGTTTTTCCCGGCCTAGGGCAATAATATACTATTTCTGCTCTTTTGATAGAAAATTCGTGCTCACGTAGCTTATTTAGATAATTGATAGTTATTGCTTGTTTTTATATTTTACAGTTCTTGTTTAAAAACTGCATGAGAGCGGAGCCACCGATATAAAAAAATATTGGTACAGAAGTTTAAATAGCAAGTTTATTTGACATTCAGCTCAGATCAATTACTATTTTAGATCCACAAATTGTTACTCTGTAGTAAAACGCGGCACATACTATGTAGAAAGTTTCAGTTCCCCATCTTGTAACTTACAAGGAGACCTTCTCACCTTCGGGTCATGGATTTGTTCCAAAATTTTTTTTCATACCAGCGGCCCGAAAGTGACTACTTCCCGGCCGCTGCGCAAAACGGGAAGAGCTATTTTCAGGCCACGGGGTATGAAAAATAGTATACAGGCCTAAGCCGCGAAAAAAGAAAGCCCCAGAGCACATGTTTATCGGCCTCGGCTTCGCCTCGGCCACTAATTACACGTACTCTGGGACTTTTCTGTTTTTCGCGGCCTAGGGCAGTAATATACTATTTCATACCAGCGGCCCGAAAGTGACTACTTCCCTGCCGCTGCGCAAAGCGGGAAGAGCGATTTTCGGGCCACTGTGTATGAAAAATAGTATACAGGCCTATGCCGCGAAAAAAGAAAGCCCCAGAGCACGTGTTTATCGGCCTTTGCTTCGCCTCGGCCACTAATTATACGTACTCTGGGACTTTTCTGTTTTTCGCGGCCTAGGGCAGTAATATACTATTGGGGTCTCCTGGTACTCTATACTGAAGCTCTTTGTGCTTAGTTTGATCTCATGGGCCTTAGGGCCCATTTTTAAGAGGATTTTCCACATTATAAAAAAATCGTTGTTATTTTCTATATCGATATAGAAGTACTTAAATGAAAAAATGTGACGATAAAAAGTTTTAAAATTTTTCAAAGAATCTGCTTGAATTTTTTCAGAATTTTTGGGACCATCTATCACTTAATTCAAGAGGCCCAAATTTGACGCTTTTTTTAATAGATTTTAGGACTTCTTAAAGAGAGTGATAAATGGCCCCAAAAATTCTGAAAAAATTCAAGCAGATTCTTTGAAAAATTTTAAAACTTTTTATCGTCACATTTTTTCATTTAAGTACTTCTATATCGATATAGAAAATAACAAAGATTTTTTCATAATGTGGAAAATCCTCTTAAAAATGGGCCCTAAGGCCCATGAGATCAAACTAAGCACAGAGAGCTTCAGTATAGGGTACCAGGAGACCCCAAAAAAATTTTGGAGCAAATCCATGACCCGAAGGTGAGAAGGTCTCCTTGTTAGGGTTGATATAAAATGATAATAGACGGTGATTCTAGCATAGATCTTATTCTCGTACGATAACGATAAACTAAGCACAATGAGCTTCAATATTGGGTACCAGGAGACCGCAAAAAAATTTTGGAGCAAATCCATGACCCGGACCTGAAAAGCTCTCCTTGTAAGTAGAATCATGTTACTGTGCCTGTGTACCCGCGGAGTTAGATACTCGGACTTCAAAAATTTGAGATCGATTAGTCCTTCCTTCACGCGCAATGCACAAGGGTTTGAAAGTCTTATTTCCTAGACGATGAGATCTCAATTTAAAATTAAAGTTTTTCATTAATTCAGATAGAAATTGAAAAAAGCTTTCTTAGCTTTTATTCTGGGTAAATTATAGCTAGCATATGTGATAGTCTTTAATTACTTTACTTTATAGTTTGATTGCTAATTTTTTGAGCAATAAAAGTTTCTACACATGATTGCAACCCGGCGTAATGCATATTGCAACAGATGGTAGTTTATCTCATAAAATTATTTTTTATTAATCTTTCGGGTACAAAAAAGTACAAAAATACACTGAATTAAGAGGAACTTTCACCTGCATAAATACAGTTTCGAGATCAAGGCAATTCATTGTGTTTTTTTTATGACAAAATATTTTAACACAACTGGAACCAATGAGTTTCATTCCAATTTATTCAGGTGATATTATTATAAGGTCACACTTTAATGAAATACTAGCGCTTTACTTCGATCGCTGATGCTCGCTTTGTTTTTCCGACTATATTTCAGAAATTTGTGATTTCGATTAAAAGAAAAAACAATTATTACAATAATATACTATTTTTTCTAGTTGAGAGCCATATTTTAATAGGTTGAGTCAATTTCGAGTTGTCAAGCGCTCTTAAGGGGACACATACACCTTAAAATCCTTTTTATTTCATAAAGAAAAAATAGACTTAAAATAAAAATTGATAATGGTCAACTTTAAGGATTCTTACTAACCCTTTAAACAAAATATTTTCCCCCCTACATACTGAAAAAGTGTCTCTAAATTTACAGGAGATACCCTTGACTTAGAAAATTTCAAATTAAATTGTATGTCTATGTATCGTAACATTCAAGTTCCACCAATAATCTGTTCAAGTTCCTGGAGCGCTCTATTTGTTTGTTGCGACAATGCTACCTCTCTGGATAAAACCATAATTTTTGCATAAAACTAATATTTCTTAAACATTTTGTTTCACTAAATTAAAATATTCTCACAATTATAGCCACACAGAGACTTTTGATGGTGCTAATTTGAAATTTTCTAAGTCAAGGGTACCTGCTGTAAATTTAGAGACACTTTTCCAGTACGTAGGGGTGAAAATTTTTCTTTTAAAGGGTTGTTAAGAATCCTCAAAGTTGACCAATATCAATTTTTATTTTAGGTCTACTTTTTTTTTTTTTTAATGAAATAAGGATTTTAAGGTGTATGTGTCCCATTAAAAGCTTATGTTCACCTTAAATTCAAAATTTTCTTTATTAAATTTTTGAGTCGGATTTTTCCTCCCCTTTTTCATTCCATTTTTCGAAATTATGAAGTTTTGATTTGGCCTTGAGATACAGCTGTTTCCGTGAGCCTTTTTCATAAGTAACCTTCAAACAGTACTTTTATGACTTAAATTTCGGCAAAAACGAAATGGAAAAAGTGTTCTTAACTGTTCAATCGTCTCATCCGAGGTAGTAACCGTAACTTTTGATGTTCTAAAGAAGTGTACGCGACCTTGGTGCTGAAGCTCAATCGGTACCCTCTGAAAATTACGACAGATGACCAAAAATCCTGCTTGCCAGAAAACGCAAAAGAAGAAAAAATTTAACACGAAAGTATAGGCTCATGGAAGTAGCTGTATTTCAGTGCAAAATGAAAATTTTTGAGTTTCGAAAAATCCAATGGAAAGGGGAAGAAATATCCGACTCAATAATTTAAAACAAAAAATTTTCATTTCAAGGTGTATGTAAGCCTTTAAACACCTTAAATAGCAGAAAAAAATAAATGGTTTAAACCTGTACCTAGACTATTAGTACTTTATAAGTCTATTGAATACCTTTAAAATTTATAAGATAATAATAGTGCTCATCTATTTTAGTGAAAATCACGATTTTCCACATTTTAAAATTGTCTATAAGGTTTTTTCTAAACTCAAAATGTCACCAAAATTTTTTGATAGATAGTTCTTAAAATGTTTAAAACGCTCTCGTCGATTATTTTTTTGACATTGAGCAAAACCGATGTTTTTGGTTCATCGATATATATATCGAATTTTTACATCAAAATCGAAAACAGTATTAGTACCCGAGTATTTATTATTATGCAAAAGGGTGGGAGTAAGTTCAAGTTTTTACAAGATTCATTTTTTCAAAGTTATTGAGATCCATTGATATTAAAAAACTTAATGGTGGAAAATATAATATGATATAATAGTAGTTTTCGATACAATTAGGGCCATAAGTAACACTTTTTGGCACGGCGTAGTTTAGGGCCCGAGCGCAGCGAGCCGATTTTCGAAAAACGGCTCTGTGGAGCCCTCCGTATTGTTGCTGTGAACAACTGCACCAAATTTCAGCCAATTTCATCGGGTAGTTTTCCCGGCAAACAGGATCGAAATTTTTGATTACTGTTTGCAGGATGAACCTTAAGGTGATGCCGAAGCCCCTATTTGGACCGACCGCACATCATAAGTATAAATTTAAATAACTTCTATACTAGACTGATTTTCCAAAAACAGCTCTGTGGAGCCCGCCGTATAGATTCTGTGAACATCTGTCCTAAATGTCTTTCCATTTCATTCAACGGGTTTTCCGGAAAACGTGATTGAAATTTTTAAGCCTGAACACTCAAATCAAAAATTTCGATCTCGTTTTCCGGAAATACCGTTGAATGAAATGGGTTGAAATTTGATACAGTTGTTTACAGCTTCCATTCCGAAGGCTCCACAGAGCCGTTTTTCGAAAATTGGTCTAGTAAAGAAGTTATTAAAATTCACATTTTTAATGCTTGGACGGTAAAAATCGGGGCTTCGGCATCACCTTAAAATTGCTCAAAGGGCTCGCAGAAATTTTCTTGGAATTTTTTCAATTTTTCAATCAACATAATTCCTCAAAATTTCAAAAATACGTAGGTTTAATCTATGTTAATGCCAATGGCGTAAGCTGTTCAGCCAGCAAAAGAGCCAGCTACAATTAAATAAGTAGGGCTTAAATGATAATTAATAATATGTAATCAATCAATTGCAGCGATGCTGGTTCGGCCACTCATCTCATCAAATCGTCGCTTGGCACAGGTATTTTAGCCATGCCCAATGCCATAAAAAACGGAGGTTTACTCGTCGGCGGAATTGGTACCATACTCATCGGCATACTTTGCTCACATTGCGTACACATACTTGTCAAGTCTTCGCACGTACTATGTCGCAGAACCAAGACTCCTGCCATGACGTACGCTGATACGGCAGCCGCAGCTTTCGAAAGTGGCCCTCTGCGATTGAGAAAATACTCAAACTTAGCTAGAAATTTTGTCAATTGGGCCTTGTGCGCTACCTACGTCAGTGGGGCCTGCGTTTACATTGTTTTCATAGCAACTGGTATTAAACAGGTAAGTTCTGAGAGTGGCATTGGTAAAAAGCCAACGATTTCAGAATAAAGTTCGCTACATTACAGCTCCCCTAAAAAAAATACAAATGGGTCGATTACTAATTTAGTTGGATAAATTTTTAAAAAAATAAAGTTTGTTTCTTGCCGTAATATAATAATATCTTTGAAATGAAAAGCCGATAACATAAAATTATCTTAACGTAAGATTAACGAAAATCATGGTGATATACTTTATTTACATTAAAATACATCAACCCATTAAGGACGAAAAGGCTTGATTTTTTCCAAAAATTTTTACGTTTTTTTTGTTTAACTAGCTATAACTTTTTTACTATCCAAAAAATCAAAATTTTGAGCTCAGTTTCTGAGGAAGCATTAAATTTTACATTGAAATAGGTGGATGCGAAATGTTTTAGAAGCCTAAAACTACGGAACAAATCGCTTACCAAGCACGGGCTCTAGCCTCCTGCAGGCCCTTCTCAAGAAGAAGTAGTAATAAAGAAAAAAAAGCCAACGAAAAAACCAAGTTTTTTTGTCGTTAAGGGGTTAATCGGTATAGGTGGTTTGGCGATGATCATAACAATAGTATAGTTTTAGCGTTATAAGAGTGGTACTACCTTCTACGCAATAGAGTCTCGCAGTGGGGAGATTCTTTTAAAGGCTCTACTCATCACCCTTGAAAAAATTCCCGAATCCAACATGAAATTTTTATAAGGGCAATGTGCTCGCCAGTGCGTCACTAGCCTACCGCGATCCAATAGGAATTTCGCACACTTTTTCCCGGGTTACGCGCTCGCACCCGGAAACTTAAATTAAACGATAATAATATCAAATAAAGTCTTAAAATTATGTTGAATTTCAATATATATCTCATTTGTGTGATGTATTTGAACGTGTAATTTTAATTTATGCATGCTTGAAGTTCTAAGCAGGTGTAATTGTATTTAATCATTAACGTAACATTCATTTCAACATTAAATTAAGTGTTTATATCAAAAGCCATTGAAAAACCATTTCAAATGTGTAAAAATATACAATAGTATATTTTGTAACAAGTGAGCGAAGCAGTTGGCTCATCCAGGAGTTGTTTTCACCCGAGGTGCAAAGACTCCTGGGTGAGTCAACTTCTTCGCGGACTAGTTGCAAACGATATTTTTTAACCCTGCTTGGGAGAAACTAGGGTTTTTTTACGATTTGAGGTTAGAAAGCCAGTGTTTCGCGCACGCAGTGTTAAAAACTCATGGTGAATTTAAATGTCAAAATTCAAATTTACACGCGCTGAAAGCGTTCATTAGCATGCACTTGTACTAATCTGATGCCAATCTCCAATCGAAGTGAAATTTTGTTAAATTTCATCGTTAACACTAAATATTTCTTTAATTAGTTCGTCAAAGGGCATATTGAATTATATCAGTCGAACAGTAATATTATAAGCCATACGAAAATACGGTTTTAATTCATATCGTAACGTTCATAAGCAAGATACAGCTATTTTTGTGTCATTTTCGGTGATGCTCTCATAAGAGCCTATGTTAAAAATGCGACTTTCACATTAGTTTTTCACGAAAGTTAGTTCGTCAATAGGGGCTGAAATTTGGAGGGAATATCAAGGAAGTCATAAAGAACAAATCCTCTAATTTTCATTATGATCTATAGGTAACTCATTCATCACCCAACAACCTTAAGGGACTGTTACTGGTTGAACTATTTGAAATATATTTTTTTATTATTGCATTTTGGGATTGTTCATAATTTGGAGTACCTTCTTTTAAAATTTGGTACAGAAATTCGGACTTCAAGTCAGACAAAATCAGGCTTGAGTTCAACCGTATACACTGCATTCAATGGCATTTGAAAACTTTAAACGCGTTTATCTCGAGGTGGTGTCTTTTTGCATGGTGGACAGTTAATCTTCGGATCTGCTCGGCAGATCCGTATAAAATTTGACACACTTCTTCATTATTGTGTGATACATGACAATATGTCAGAAAATTACAGAAAAATTGTGAAAAGTATGAGATGATAACGAAATTAAAAAAGATTATTACGGAAAAAAATAGTTTGTGAAATTACAAGATTTATGGTAAAAAAAATTGGGGGTTTCTATGCAAACTTGGGAAATAATAAGATTCAAAGTTTTGGCCATTTAACGTTGATCTGTATGGAAAGTGGCAGTTTTTAGTGTACTGTGAGCTGAAATCACTTTATACATGTTAATGAAATTAATATATGTTATAGGAAATTTCATTAGTTTTCAAATGATATAATTATAAATGGGTGTTTCCAACCATTTTCAAAAGATATCAAGAGTCCAACACATTTCCCCCATGTTCTGCCATGCTAACGCTGTGCGCTGCGTAACGCATATAGCCTTGCGCTTATAGAGTTTTAATAGAGAACTACCTTGAATCGCTACAGCCTCCTTTATCAAACGTTCATTTTTTTCTTGTATATTATCATGTATCACATATTAATGAAGAAGTGTGTAAAATTGAGTAAAGATCGGCTGAGTAGATTTTGAGATCAATCGTTCACCATTGAAAAATCACTTATTACGAATATAATGCATGTTCCGAGAAAAAAAAATGTTTTTGAATACTTTTTCTACCCACAACATAGAGCAATAAATAGTATGAAAATATATAATAAACGAGCTGAGAAAATAAATGACGAAAATAGCTTTTTTTATTTTTTTTTCGATTAGTTAACAGTCCTTTAAGATGGATGGTTGATGAAACGAAAATGAATAGATCGTTTTGAATATTTAATGGGTTGTTCTTTGTGGCTTTCTTGATATTTTCCTAAAATTTCGGTCCCGGTTGTCGAACTAACTTTCGAGAACGATTAATGAAAAATTGGCGTTTTTAACATAGGCTCTTATGGGCTTACGGCCAGAAATCGAACTTAAGGGCTAATAGGGGGCTTAATTATTTATCATTTTTCAATTTCAGTATTAGGCTGTAAAAGTAAAAAACATGTTTTTTTTCAATAACACAAATGATAACTTTTTTCAATAGCCTATTTGAAAGTATTTTGTCAAGTTAGATACTTAGAAAAAATTGAGTACAATAATAATGAGGGTATTGGTGCTCAATGCAAGCTATACGCATATCTAAGCTACCTGTCGTAGAAATCCAAGAGCGAGCATTAATCTAATAAAGACTGTGTGGTTTCATTTTGTTCAATAGCCAATTGGCCATGGTCGCAACCAAAAGCTAGCCATAAGATGAACTGTAGCTACTCCTGTGTACAATTTTCTAGAATTTAGTATTCATTTTTTATCATTTTCCATAAATTAATTTCACTTTGCTACAGTTCATCTTATGGCTAGTTTTTGGTTGCGACCATGGCCAATTGGCTATCGAACAAAATGAAACTACATAGGCTCCTTTAACTGAATGCTTGATCTTCGATAGGTAGCTTAGATATGCGTATAGCTTGCGTTGAGCACCAATACCCTCATTATTATTGTACTCAATTGTTTTTATGTATCTAACTTGACAAAATACTTTCAAATAGGCTATTGAAAAGGGTTATCATTTGTGTTATTGAAAAAAAATTTTTTTTACTTTTACAGCCTAATACTGTAATTGAAAAATGATAAATAATTAAGCCCCCTGTTAGCCCTTAATTAACTGTATCTTGGGTATCTACGTACACCTACGTACAGCTATGAATAAAAAACATACCAGCGAATAGCTCGAATCCTCACCTTTTATCGATATAATTTAATATGCCCCTTAAAGAACTAATTAAAGAGATATTTAATGTTAAAGATGAATTTTGACGTGATTTCGCCATTTAACAGCTTGTAAATACTACGTAGCTAATTGTAACTTCAAATCTAGATGCGCTAAATGTATACTATTATAATTATAATCACCCAACTACCTTAATAGTTATACTTTGTGTATTCTCGCAATTTATGGACATACACTAGCGTATTCAATTATTATTTCTTAAAACCCCACGCGACAAATTTACACAGAAAAAGCATATGTACACTCGTTACATAATATACTATTGTAGCACTGTGCTAAGTTCACGTTTAAGTCCCGTTTGCCGTAACTTCAGCTACTCGTTATTGCACCGCGACACTATTATAATCAACTTATATCTCGCCAAAGGGTGCCTAAACGTGAACTTAGTACAGTGATATAAAAAAGCATACGGTACTTGTAACTCAAGTAGCCCATGCTGAACACGGCCACCCTGGCTACGTTCGAGAGCTAACCCTACCGTGTAATAATGATCATTTGATTATTTAAGGTGGCTAGTCAGTAAAATGGGTAGACAACAGATGTTCATTAAACTTGGGAGGCCACCATAATTTCATACATTTTACGCCATAACTTTTTTTATTAAAACAACAGATCTTAACCAAAAACGAGTATGTTATGCTTCAAGTCACTATCTTTCGATTGGTATGTTAAAAATTACCCCTTACCGTACTAACTAATGAGTAATTAGACAAAATGTGCGTAAAATCATTGATTTCGAATAGTGCGAGCGGTTGCCTGTCTAATGCGAGAAAGAGACAGACATACGCCTCGCTGTACTATTATTATGATTACTGACTAGCCACCTTAATTGCTTTATTATTGGGACTTATATTATCGGTATATTGAGACAATGGGCTGCTTAATTCACACGTATTATAATATACTATTTAAAAAAATAAACAAGTCTTTTAAAATTTGTATTTGATTTTTATTCAGTTGGGAGACCAATACACAGGCATGAACATTTCCATCCGAACTTACATGCTGTGCCTGATACCAGCTGTTGTTTTACTTGGTCAAGTGAGAAATCTACGAGTCCTTGTACCTTTCTCAGTTCTTGCAAATTTAAGCCTTACTGTTGGTTTTGCTATAACTCTTTACTACATATTTAACCAAATTCAACCGATGGAGAAAATTCACTATGTTACCACCTGGCATCAGTTGCCAAAATTTTTTGCAACGGTCATTTTTGCTATCGAAGGCATTGGAACCGTGAGTATACTTTATTTTTAAATTTTAGACAAGGTTAAAAAATAAACGATTTTTAAACATAATTTTGAAATTTTGATTTAGGTAATGCCAATAGAAAATAGTATGGCTAATCCAAGACATTTTATCGGATGTCCTGGTGTATTGAACATCTCCATGTCCGTTGTGATCACACTTTATGCTGCCATGGGCGTTTTTGGTTATTTAAGTTTTGGAGAATGTGCTAAGGCCAGTATCACCTTGAATCTTCCGGAAGGCGAAATGTAAGTTTAGTTTCTGCAATGTGGTCAATTGACCGTCTTGCTAAGTACTTTCAAAGTGTAACACTTACGATCAATTAAAATTTTAGTCTTGGTCAGCTGGTGCAATTTCTAATTTCTATTGCTATTCTACTGACTTACGGTCTACAGTTCTTCGTGCCTTTAGAAATTATTTGGAACTCGATAAAGCACAAGTTTAGTCACAGATGGGAGGTACTGGGTGAAACTGTTATGAGAATTTTCATGGTCCTACTCACGGTGAGCGTGGCCATGCTGGTGCCTGATCTGGACCCCTTCATTTCGCTTGTCGGTGCCGTTTTTTTTTCTGTGTTGGGAATTTGTATTCCAGCTATCATCGAAACCATTTCTTGCTGGGAAGCTCATCTCGGTGTAGGATACTGGAGGCTCTGGAAAAATGCTTTCCTCGTTCTTGTCTCAATTTTTGCGCTCATCGCTGGTAGTTGGATCTCCATAGAGCAAATCATTGAACTCTATACTAAATCTTCGCCAGCTTCAAGTATTGCAACGTGTACACTGAATAGAAGTGAGATGATAGTTTCATCAACTAGTAATGAAACGCTCATCTCGACGACGCTGGACATCGTCAACGGAACGAAAATACTATAAATGAAAAATTTTTATTTGCTATTAAGCATAACTTGAGTATTACTAGAATAGTAGTTTATATATGTAGTTATAATGAAAAAAGAAATTGTAAAATTATGGACAAAAGTTTTATGTATCGACAAACTCTTTGCATTATTGTTTGAGTTATAGTAATGTAATGCTTAAGCGCTCTGCACTTGGCTGCACTTGCTAAGTAATTGTCGACGAAATTTACATTGTATGTTTTATAATCATTATTGGACCAATAATTTTTACTCAGTTTAAGAAGAAGATAATTAAAAGTAGATTTATAATAGATCTCGGCAAACTTATACATAACTTGTTATACATTAGAATGAATTCATAAATGGCATGTATCATAATCGTTTCATTATCATATATTATGTACTTTTAGCCAACATATGATATGTTTGTTAGAATTTCGAAAACAATATTTTCGTAGCATTTAATTTGTATTGAGCATTAGACAATTGTTTTAATAATTGTTTAAATCGAGAGTATTAAATTTTTATTACGATGTTTGAGAGTTTTTTTTAATTCAAATTTCTACACATTGATTTACTAATTTGTAATTTGAATTGCTTTGTTTTTTCGATAAATAAAAGCATTCATATAATTTAATTTATATGAAATTTATTTTTGATGTAAAGCATTAATTTTTAGATAAAAATTAAGTAACCATAAAACGTTAAGAATAGAATATTACTGATTTAGAGCGCAAAAAACTGGAAATTGTTTCATATACCAGTGACCTGAAAATTTTCGTCGATACTTGAGAATAGAACATGAAATTGAAAATATTTTTTTACCTCGAAAGTCATAAAATTAGGGGTCAATTACATAATCTAGATTAGAGTGTAAAAAGAATGTATTGAACAGTTTGAATAATGATTTACACTTTAAACTCATGTATTGAACATTATTACATTCGTTACTTTGTCGCTGTATGATAACTGTACTTATTTTCGACGGATCTAAAAATTAATTTGTTTTGCAGGATTGGATATTTTTTTTCCGAATATTTCATTCATTGTATAAATGTTCAAGTTGCTTAGTAAATTTTTCAATTTGATCAACTCATCCTAAAAATATTTAGTAGGGTGACTGTACCGATACCCGAACACTCTTGTTCAATTTAAATAAACATTTAAACAAATTTTAAAATAAATTAAATGGTACGATCGAGTTGATTGTTACTCATTGAGTTGACTTATTTAGTTTATAAAGTGTTTGTTAAATAAATTAATGAAAATACATCGTATTAAAAAGTGGACGGATATTGGCACAAAGTGATTTATTTTAAGACTAATTACCGGAGACTTTTTAATTTAAAATACTAAAAAATCACTTTTTACCTGGTTGGGTATTGGCACAGTCACCTTATTAAAAATGAAGAGAGTAGGGGTCAAGAGAACTAATTAGTATAACGGCTCTTATTTACTCTCTCTATATCGTCTAATAGGTACCCTTATAAAAATGAGCAAAGTTGCAGTTACTTATATTCAGGTAAATTTTAAGGGTACAGTTCTTAGGCGTAACGTTAAGATCTTATGTTCAAATGAAAAATGAAATACTTATATATTGATGTGTAGTGAAGGTAATTTTGATAATAATTATTAATTTTTATTCTTTTATATGCAGACAAAATTATTCAAAATACATACATTTTTTTGTAAATTTTGAATCACTCACTGCAGTTCATGTATTTATTATTTTAGTTACTATTTGTGTTTTTGTTATTTAATTAAATTCAGTAATTTAAGTCATTAAACAGATCGGTCAAATTACATGAAAAAAGAATGGCCATTTCTATTTAAAGTACGTAGTTTTTTTAATTACGACAATATGTTACAACTATCCATAAATTATTTATACATTTTCGAATAAGTATGTATATAAAATATTTCAGATGTAACTAAGTTATTTTATAATTTTTCGTTAGATGTTACCGCATTAAATTTTCAATAGCGTGACATTTTACGCTTGACATAAAAAAATGTTAGTAGCATAGCTATACTAAAATTGAAGTTCGCACTCAAAAAAATTATTCTTTACACGTTGAATATATTTTTATAATTCAAAAGTAATTTCATGGACTACAAAATAAACTTTTTTACCGTAAACTTTCTTCTTTTCCTTCAGAATCGTTTTACTTTATCTTTGTTGGAAAAAACAGACATCTTTCCATTTTGAGTATATAAGTTTATCAATCTACCACTAGTTGGCGCTTCTGAACCGGCTTTTACAAGTACAATGCTAGAAAATTACATGCGGTACCTCGTTTGGCACTTGATTGACGGCGACAAGTTACGACAGGGCTATGCAGTCAGTAATGGCCGTGCTTCTGGAGCTTTTTCTTGTTCAGAATTTAGAAAGTATTCAAATAATAAGTTGACAGCAGTAACACCGCGTTTTATTTTTTAGATTCACTCGTCAATTAGTTGTTCGTGCTCAGCTGATCTTGAGAAGTTAGAGTTTTCGGTATTATTTATGCACTTGAATCGCCAATTTCATGTTTAAGTCACAGAGACATCCATAATGGATATGTAGTAAGAGTTCTGCTTATTTTTCAGTATTGTTTTTGTTTTTAACTTGTGTAAAGTGTTGGAAATATTCGAAGTAAAGTGAATTAAGTGAAAAATTTTAGTAATCATGAAAATGGTTGAGCACATTATGCTTTAATTTGTGAATGTTAGGGGAATGAAATTTATGAAAAACAATGGCAAATGAAGACTTCAATTTTTCGGAATTGTGCAGATTATGTTCCCTGAAGAGTAATCAGCAAATGCCGATATTTGATAAAGAGGGCGAACGAAGAAAGCTTCTAATTAAAATACGTTCTTGTATACCTGCCGTAGTGAGTCTACAACATAACATCAACAATGATTTTTAAATAATTGTGCATTTTCTTTTACTTTTTTTATTTAATTAATTATTATTTTAAATGATTGATTCATTAAAAACGAATGCGTACCATAAAATTTTTAATAGTAAATTCATTTCAGATATCAAAAGAAGATTCATTGCCGAAAAACATTTGTCAAAGATGTGTTTACAAGTTGGACATGTTCTACGAATTTCGATTGAGCTGCATGACAACTGATACAGTATTAAAAAATTATGCTGATAGCTTAAAACAATTGGTTTCAACTTCAAATTTACAGGTGAATTTTATAGTTTGAAATGTTAGTATTGTGCTATATTAAAGAAAAAATAGAAAAAAATAGTATATCGCAGAATGAGTGTGTATTCTAGTGCCAGAAAAAAAGGGTAGGGCAAAGTAAAGGGAGAGAAAGTAGGAGTAATACAGAAGAGCCCGTATCTATTAGCTTGTACTACGTGAATCCTCTTACTTGTCGCGTCAGCATATTGATCGCAAGGGATACCTGTGGTGAAGGTCTTCGTATCAACAAGGATGTTGTAATGTGAAAATGAAAGTTGACGTATGAAATCAGTTCATGTATCTTTATGGTTGTACCAAAAAATATGAAAAAAAATTAAAATAAGAAAAAATTATCTCAAAAAAATTTAGTAATAGTGTTTACGGCAACTAGTGTGCAAAAGGCGATTCTGCCCACACTATGCGCATAAAAAAACTGGGCACGTATCGAATACAACATTTTATACAATATACCTATGCGCAAACTACCTAAAGGCAAACATTATACCTAAAACATGTACATAAGGTAAATGACCCAAATTTGGAATACTGTCCATAATTTGATACGTGTTAATCAAATGGGCTCAAAAAAGCGTTCCAAAATAGGGCATGCTACAAAGCTCTATGTCCACATTGTGGAACAAAAAAAGTTGAAAGGATCAGAATCGACATTTGATTTACTCGTTCCAAATTATGGGCCACTTCATTATGGAACAATGAGTCGAAGTAACAAATTGTAAACAAAAGTATTGCAAATTTACCATCAGAAGCACGAGCTGCTTCGGTCTAAAACGCATACGAAATGTTTCAAAATATTCATTTAGATGTGATTCTCTTATAAAGTGAAAAACCTTAAAAATAGTGTTCTCAATATGGGTTATTTGCCTTAAAAGGGTGAATCCAAAAAAAATCAAAACATGAAACGAACAAAATCTAATGAAATATGAAGAAAATATATTGTTAATAAACATAATTTGTTGTTATATAGTTTAATAATTGTTATATCAAATATATCATATGTTTTTTATTACATTTCATACTTTCATTAAATTGTGTTCTGTGTGGTTTTTACAACACCCTTCAGAAAATTAGTCTTTTAGGCATCGGTTGAAATAGTCATGGTGGCGCACGGCTAGTACACCCGAAGAAACAGGGTGCACGCGGTACTGAGCTCTTTGCCTCTGCTACTGTAGTTAAAAAGGGGAGGGATCGAAGCTGGTATGTGTATAGTCCGATATATATATATATATATTTATATATATGTACGTGCACTACCTGCAAACCGATGGTGTATACATCTTCAGTTTCATACCGGGAGCTAAATCGTTTGTACATATCTACACAATTCAATCGTCTGCAGGAATTTTTTCCTCAATATATGAGTTTTCAGAGTCATGGTTAAACTGCATCCGAATTTGCTACAGATTTCACGATGTCATCCTACTTTTTTGCAAATGAATGTATGAATCTTGATTAAAATTATGCACATGAAATCATATATCTGCAGCAGTACTAATCACTGTTTTGATCGAGAGATTTAGTTTGTTTAATTGGACAGATTTCAGCGGATTTTTTGTGAGTATTTAAAATATGAATCATTTCTACCTAATGTCTTTGCTTTTAAAAAGTAATTCTTTTTATTATTTGACGAAGCTTTAGAATAAAAATTACGCCACTTATTCAAAACGATAGATTTTTTTTTATGAAAATTTCAAATTATTACTGCAAAAAAATTATTTTTTTGTTCTGCATGTTATGAATAAACGAAGATACGTGATTTCTTGAAAATAATTAATTTTGATATCATAGTTTGAATTGCAATGATAACAGTTGGAATAATAATTAACAAATGTATTATATTAATAATTATTGAATTTTTTACTCATTGAATGATGTAAATTTGAAATTAAAAAAAAATAAAGATACTAGACCCTATATAAGATTTATTAAGTTAACACGCTTTGTAAAGAATTGAAATTTAATCATCCCGAACTAGCTTGCATAGACTTGTCGGCAGAGGTAACCACAGGTACATAGATGCATGAGGTCCTTTCTAGAAGATCGATACTCTCTCTTCATGTCAACCTTGGAGTGAGCATGCCGGCAGAACCAGAATATACGCAAGCGTACTACTAGAAGATATAGATTTTATTCTTGCCCTTGTTCAATTATCGTCCTTTTTTTATTCTCACCAATTATATTTTTAAATAAGTATCGCTGGTTGTCGTTGATTATTAAAGTGAATTTTCTCATTACATTTAGTATAAGAGATGTAACTAAGGAATGAAAGAGTGTGATAATTGTACGATTATACTAGCTCTTTCGCTGTCGCTGTCATTAGATGGCACTTACGAGTATCACGATTCGCAAATTTTGTCTTACTGAATACTAGTTTTGTAAAGTAGAATATTCTATTATTATCTGATTCAGTTTGAGTTCGAGGTGACTTATTTTGCACGGAGGGAATAGTTATTTATGTAACAAGCGCTCAAAAGGCGTTTTTGGGCACGAGTGTGCGGAAAAAACACCCACTCGTGCCGGCATAGCCGGCACTCGTGTCTTTTTCTGTGCGCAAAAAGCTGGGCACGTGTTGCATACAAAATTTTATGCAATAGTAGGCGAAAAATACGTTCATTTAAATGAGGCGTTTTACCGCACACCCGTGTCCAAAATGGGGCATTTTTCCGCACACAAGTGTCCAAAAACACTTTTTTAGTGCGCATGTCCATCTTCTGCTTACTTCCTTCCTCCACTTTTTCCTTACCACTTTACATTCATTAAATAAGTGCTCCAAATTTCCTCCTTCCTCCTCACACAATATACACATTTCTTCCTTTTTCTTCCAGAATTTATTACTTTCCACAAAGTTGCCACGCCTTATCCTCGCAATTAGATTTGTCTCCACTCCTCTTCTGTACTTTCTTAAATATTTCGGTATCTCTTGACATTTCCATTTTTCATACTCCTTATTGTACCTGGCGCCTCAAACTCTTTCCTCTGTTTGCTGCCTCATAATGTCGACCAACCGTTTCTATTCCTTCTTCTACTTTTCTTCCTTGCCTCCTTGCCATCTCAATATACTTGTTGCTCAGTCCTAATTTTCCTAATGCCTCTCTTTTTTGCTTTATTACTCCTTCTCTAGCTTGTTGCTCCCAACCTTTTTTATCAATCTTCCCTCCTCTGCCTCTGCGCATTTCCTCTCAAATACCACTTCTCTTCTAATCCAGTCGTTGTGCATCTTTCTTCTTTCTGTTTCTCTCACAATGATGTAGCCCGGCGTACAGAAATCCAACCTCAGCACCCATCGTATATAATCCTTTTTCAACTTTTCTAGCTCCTTTCCTCGTTCCGCCCCCACAGCTCCGGTCCATAGCTCATCACACTTTGTACCAAATACTTGAATAGTAACATCCTTCTTCTATAATCCTCTCTGCATCTCCTCTCTCCTAATCCCCACGTTGCTTTCGCCGCCACGATCCCTTTCTTCATCAATTTTCTAATCTGACTATTAAAGTTTCCTTCTGTGTTCAGCAACATTCCTTGGTATTCGAATTCCCGCACTTTTTCTAGATATCTTTCCTTTCATTGCCACTTCTCTTCTTTTTGGTTCCTCCTCTCGTTGAACATCAATATCTTGGTCTTTTCCTCGCTTAGCTCCAGCTGCCTTTCCTTGAAAAATCTTTGTGTACACAGTAGCATGTCTTTCATTGCCTCTCTGTTTTTTGACAGTATCGCGATGTCATCCGCATAGGCCAACGACCACATCCTCGTATTTCCAATCCTCACCCCTCCAACATTTCTTCTCTAGGACTCCTTCTCCATTTCTGCAATATAAATACAAAATAAAATTGGACTCAATAAGCGACCCTGCCTCACTCCTTTCACTGTCCAGAATTCCTCCGACCTGACATTCCCCTTTATTTCTTCATACAGCTGCTTGATCGATTGAATAATTGGATCTTTTGTACTTTAGGACATTTTTTTGAATTTTGGGTTTTGGATATTTTGGCATTGGAACTTTTGTTTTGGACATTTTGTCTCCCTACCGCTTGATTCTTTCCGTCAAATATTCGCTTATTTCAAGTCTATGCATACACTCCCATAATTTCTTCTTGTCCATTGTATCGAAGGCCTTTTTTAGGTCTATAAACATCGCATATACTTTTTCCTTATCTTATTCTTCGCCTTTTGAATCACGTAGTTCAGAGTGTATATAGATTGTCCATAGTTGACCTGCCCTTCTGGCAAAATCTTTTTCTCTCCGATCTCCTTTACTAACTTTCCTCTTATTATTTCCGTGTGAATCTTGTACGCTGTTGGTAATAGTGAAATTCCTCTGTAGTTTCCTGGCTTATTCACATCTCCTTTTTTGTACAGTGGTACGATTATCGCTGTCCTCCAATCGTCCGGAACTTCCTCTCCTTCCCATATCTTGTCTATTAAACCTTTCTGCTTTTTTCTCAGTGCTGTATCCATCATCCATGCTTCATTCTGCATCCTATATATACCAGGCGCTTTCCTTTTTTTTATTGTTTCTAATACTTTCCTGAATTCCTCTTCACCTCTCTTTTTTCCCTCCTTCTGGATCTTTTTTTTGCTTTATCCTTTTTGACAATGCTCTGATCCATCCAGCAGTTCCATGAAACTTTCCTTCCATTCCTGCTTGTCAATCCTACTCTCCACTTTTTGTCGTCTCTTTCTATTTCCTATGAACTTCCATATCTCCTCTTCGCTCTTCAAACTCCTTAGCTCAGCTTCCTCACTTTCCTTGAACTTCCTCTCCTTTTCCTTCAATAATATCTTCCATCTTCTTCTTTCTTCAACGTATTGTCCTTTATTCGCGTTACCTCTCCTCCACTTTGCGTAACATTGTTTTATTGCATTATTGAGTAGGATTTTTCCGTCCCTTTCCATTGCATTTTTTGAAATTCCAAAATTTTGATTGTGCCCTGAGATACAGCTGTTTCCGTGAACCCTTTTCCTATACTTTATGTGTTAAATTTTTTCTTTTTTTGCGTTTTCTGGCAAGTAGTGTTTTTGGTCATCTATCGTAACTTTCAGAGGGTACCGATTGAGCTTCAGCACTAGGGTCACGTACACTTCTTCAGAACATCAATGGTTACGGTCACTACCTCGGATGAGACGATCGAACGGGCAGATTGCTTTGCATGAACAGTTAAGCACACATTTTTTTCCATTTTTCGTTTTTACCGAAATTTAAGTCATAAAAGTACTGTTTGAGAGTGACCTATTGTTTCGATCGTCTCATCCGAGGTAGTGACCGTAATCATTGATGTTCTGAAGAAGTGTACGCGACCCTGGTGCTGAAGCTCAATCGGTCCCCCCTGAAAGTTACGATAGATGACCAAAAACACTACTCGCCAGAAAACGCAAAAGAAGAAAAAATTTAACACGTAAAGTATAGGAAAAGGGTTCACGGAAACAGCTGTATCTCAGGGCACAATCAAAATTTTGGAATTTCAAAAAATGCAATGGAAAGGGACGGAAAAATCCTACTAAATAATGCAATAAAAAAATTTTCGACTTTAAGGTGTATGTGTCCCCTTAAGTTAAAAGTTTAAGTTTAAGTTTCATCTTCTGAACTACCGTCATCACTTCTATATAAAATAGAAAAAAACGACGTCCATACGATTCTGAAGGCTACGAGTGATAGTAGAGTCTCAAATTCCGGGTTCAGAACTATTTTTCCATGAACCATAACATACCGAAATTCTGGACCTCATCCACAGATTTATTTAAAAAATCCTGAATCTAGTCCTGATATGAACACTTCTAGAACCTGAAATGGCGGGTCATGTGGTTCATTTTCGCCCTGTTTTGAATTCCATAATTACAAAACATTTCAATAATAAAGTTCAGGTCCTGTTCTGATGTTAATTAATTTTATATTATTTAGGCTAACGATACAGAAAAAATGCCTAACAACCAACATCATCAGCAGCGTTCTTTGTATGCTGAAGCTCATGCAGCCGTGCAGCATCATATTGCTCAACAAACGGCTCAGGTTCGGTTGATTTCAGCTGCATCAGTGCCGGTATCATCTTCTTCAATAACTTCGCATCAGACATCAAATCCAACTTTTACATTGCCAGATGATGGGTTAGGTTATGATGATGGGGTTCGAGTGCTACGATCTATCGGCACGTGGTAAGGAATTAAAATTAAAAGTTTGAAGGCACGTAGGAGACTTAAAAACATAGGACTGTGCCAGTAATCCAAAAAACTCGACCCGATCGAGTCGAGTATTCGTCTCGAGTTCGAGTCGACTACTCGAGTTTTTTTAAAGTACTTGCCATATTTTCGAGTTTTAGCAAAATAAATGATCCATTAACAAAAAAATAAGCACTTCGTTTGTATGTGCATGTTCTTAGTGGGGGNGGGGGAGAAGCAATACAAGTCAGTAAATAACGGTCACCCTAATGTTCATGTATGTTATGTACTTGAATTGTACGTATTTTTATACACCTATTGTACAGACATCTGTAGTTCAAATGGTTCACTCTCCAAATTATGACAGGTAAAAGCATTTTAACACAGAAAAAGTAAAAGCAAAATAGTATATTTTGCACCTACGGAGTGAAAAACTGGAAAGTCTCAGAGCACGTGTAATTTATCATCCGAGGCTGATAATTACGTGCTCTGAGACTTTCTTTTTTTCGCTGCATAGATGCAAATACAATTTTTTGTGAATCTCCCGGCCTAAAGTAACATTTCGCATAAATGTGAACTTAGCACAGTGCTAGTGCTATAAAATGTAGTACGATCCTGGAGCCATACGGGACACTTTCTTGCCCGGCTATTCTAGGACCGGTTACTTATAGCCCTTGTATCGTAAAGTACTATAAAAAAACGTGCGCGGTGATATTTAAAAAAAATCTGGGAAAAAATATATGCTATTGAACAACACGAAAAAAGACTTTTCCTAAAATTTTTCACATGATGAACCTGCAATTTATATTGCAAATTTGAAAAAGTCAAAAGTTTTACGTTTGAATAGGTCCTTTCATTTTTTCAAGTTATCACTAATTAAATTTAATTTTAAGTCAAATGAGGGGTTTATTCGAGTCAGTAGCGCTCTTATAATGGCCTTGAAAAAAAACTGAAGGCATATTTCAATCGTAATTTTTTTGCTCTTTTCAAATCATTTTTCTCAGCTATGACTTAAAAAAAGTTCATATTACTCCCAATTCCGTTTCCAGTACGCAGACTTCTATTCGATCCAGCCGTACAACCGACCCTCCCTTGTCAACCGAACGGTATTTTTATCAGTGTTAAGTTTTGAAAAATTACTTGTGTCAATTATCATAATAGGGTCAACTGACTAGTGAATGAACGACTACTAGTAAATAAATGACTAGTATATTAAATTAATTAAATAATGAATATTTTGAAAATATTTTTTGTAACAATCACTTATTTTTTCTTGGGTGACAGCATTTTTAACACTAACAGTTTTATTTTAATTAAAACCATTTTTTTATTAGAAAATCTATTTATATTACACGCTAGTGCATAAAATCATTCAATCACTGGGTAAATTAGACATAATCAATATTTATCCAGTGATTGAATAGACATCCTGAGATATCTTTGTTGCAGAGGTTATGAATTCATCGAGTCTAATCGTCAAGAATCTATTACTCCTGGAAGATTTTTACAATCATTAATGAGTTAAACTACTCAAAGTAAACTACTTAATATAAATTCTTCAATGTAACTCGGTTATTTCATGGATGGTTACATAATGTTCAATTATAAAATTGACAATATCACACGTTCATTTACTGGTTCAGCAACGTTCATTCATTGGTTCGGGGCATTAATTTACTGGTAAAATACGTTATCAAATGATATTAATTAAATCATAGATTGTAGTTTAACAATTCTTATTAAATTAATATGTAAACTTCTTAATTTAGAGCATTAAAATCTGAAAATCATCTACTTCATAAACAAAAAAAAATAATTTTGGTTTTTATAATTCAATTTATGTGGCATTTTTTGAAACCATTCATTCACTGGATGGTTGACCCTAATAACTTTTATTTGGTTTAAATTTTATTGTGACGTCCAGCACCGCCACTGATACCATATGTTTTTTTTTTCTTCCCCGCCTACAATCATGATCGATCGATAATCGCTCCCATTACCCACGTTAGAAAAATATCAATCCTAGATCATAGAGTTCCTAAGTTACCGACCCGATTAACGAATCTCATTTTAACAAATGTTTAATTATTCTTATATGATTTCTAAATATTTTAACTCACTATGTTTAATTATTATGTTTAATGAATTCAATTTTTATTATAACTCAATGATGTCAATTAAATAGAAAATAACTCCACAGAAGTATAACTACACGTGGCTGTATTAACGACTCAAAATCATTATTTACAAACACAATATTACATTAAGCTTTAAGCCGAGTGCAAGAATATCAAACAATAACAATTGTCACTATACCACAGATATCAAACTCAAGTAATCTATCAATTAATTAAATAATAATGAAATCAACAGCACTTCACGAACGAACACTGAGTCATCGTAAATATGCACTGTTTGGTATCGTTGCACTCGTCTCAACTCACTGATTTTAAACAATTCACTGTATCACACTTTTGTCAACAATTATGTCTAATATTTTATAATAAAGATTTGGCCCGTGGGACGTAGAAAGATCGAGAATCCGAGGACGGTTGGTTTGTTCAGCCCACTCGTAAATTTTACGACCTTAGGTCAAATCAAATTCCAGCATGTACTTAGCCCACCTAAAACAATAGAGATTCTGAGAGTATAAAAAGCCGATGAACAAACCAACAGACCTCGCATTCTCCCTTGAACCTCCAGTTGTAAAACACAGCACACGGAGCCGTTATAAAACATAACGAGTAAGTTCAAAAATTCATTTTCCTTCCTTCACTTCTCTACTCTGCAAGCCCATGAACAACTCATGGCAAAGAGCTTAAAACAAGCTCGTCTGCTACTCTCTCAAACTCTCCAGCTGTACAACACGGCCCACGGAGGCGTTATACAACATAACGTATGTGTTTGAATTCCTTTTTCTTCCTCTGCGAGCCCGTGAATAACTCACGGCAAAAAGAACTTAAAACAAGTTCGACAGTTTCGCTTTAAAACAAAGCGAAACTAGCGCTAAAATAGCGGACACCCGTCAAGCACGTGTGCTTGACAGGTATACAGGTGTTTTCATAACACCGGAGAGCCGTGACTCGTTGCCTGTTGTGTGTGTGCGGCGGCTGCTACAACAGCAGAAGTATACTCAGTCCCGGGACTTCCAATATAAGCCCGCGCCGACACAAAGAGATATACGCCGTACACATATACCTAGCAGACGCACACGAGTCCCTCTCGCCAACAATCATACACTCACGCTACACCGCGTCTACTACAGTAACACGTATACATTCCGTCCCGGGACTTACAATACAAGCCCGCGCCGACGCGAACTCATATACGCCGTATTCATATACTTAGCAGACACCCACGAGTCGCTCTCGCCAACAGTCATACACCCACGCTACACCGCGGCTACTACAATAACACGCGTACACTCCGTGCCGGGCCCTACAATAGAAGCCCGCGCCGACGCAACTCATATACGCCGTACTCATATACATAGCACACGCACACAAGTCACTTTCTCCAACGGTCATACACCCACGCTACACCGCGGCTACTACAATAACGCGCATACGATCAGTCCCGGGACTTCCAATATAAGCCCGCGCCGACGCGAACTCGTATACGCCATACACATATACCTAACAGACATATACACAACGTTTTCCATCTATTATTCCAACGTACTCATAAGCAACAGTTTCGAATATAACAAAAATGAACTCCTAGACTATTTGAGGTAAAACTCAAGGTCTGAACAATTAATTAAATAACTACAATTAGTTATAACATTATAATTACCTAAATTGCAAAATGTTAAATCTACTGACTTCATTATTTTCAAAACGCAATTATGACTACTTCTATCATTCTATGTCAGGTCTCCTGATTATCCAACAATAACGCGACAGAGTGGTATGGTACCACTTTTTCCTGGCACTACTGATTCATCGCACATAGGTAATAATCGAACTGCAGGAACAAGCATAGTATCAAGCTCATCATTGCATCAACCTATACGTTCCGTTAGTGGTAATAATTCTATGGGATCAAGCAAGCCTGCATTTGTATCCAAAGCCACTAATACAGGCGAACCATCATCTAAAGCATTTGCTTGTACTGTGTGCGGCAAAGGTTTAGCACGAAAAGACAAGCTTGTAATTCACATGCGCATTCATACTGGAGAAAAGCCTTATTCCTGTGAAGTTTGTGGTAATAAAAGATGATTTATGTAGCTCTGTTTAAATGTCTATTATATTCAAATCAAACGTAGTTCTATTTTGATACAAAAATTTTCAAATGAAGAATTTAAACTTGAAAAAGTTTTAAATATACTACACTGCGCCATATAATTATTGCTACAACAATTTTCATTATTTAATTTTTACGAATGAATTCGTTAGGGCCAAGCAGTACCTCAATCGGTCTTTGCCATGCAAGACCGTTTTTTATTAATTCGCTATTGCTACAATGTGGGTATGCAATCTCTTCGAAAACACGAGAAAAATATTTAACTTTATCATACCTAATGAAGAGGAACTTCGCAACGATGATATCCTCTTTCAGTCTCAATTTATGTCATAAATAATTGTTCTCAAAACAAAAAATTTAACTTCGGATTGGGATCAAACCAGTGAAAGCTCACCATTAGCCGGCTACTATGAGAATGCATACCCGCATTGTAGTAATGGTAAATTTGTAAAAAATGATCTTGCATTAAGCTTTGCCTGGAAAGTACCAAAATACAGTGTGACACTACCAAATTGATTCGTAAAAATTAATTAATATTCGCACGCGTGAAGAGCATGATAAATTTTCATTAATATTTAGCCAATTTTCAAATGCTTTTACCTCTGTCAATTTTGATCATATCAAGACCATTTTTTAGTTTTCTTCGATTTTTTTTAGTTTTAAACTACTTAAACATAATGTACTGAATGACAGAAAAAATTGATAATTTTAAAGAATCGTAAAGATTTTTTTTTAAATTACTCGTCAATAAGAGTACTTTGGGGTGGTCCTCTTTAATTTGGATAAACAAATGTTTTAATCGGTTGACTGTAGTCTAGGTACACGTTTAAGATTCATTTTTTCTGTCATTTATGGTGTTACGCCTAAGTATGATCGGCAATTCGAAATTGACCTATTCAATATATATCGATGTGTTTACGTGGTCCAAAGTTGATAAGCGTCGTAAATACAAAAACGATTTTGTCTAGAGCAGCGAGTGTGTAACGCGAGCAGAAAATATAATTAATAAATGTAATGATTTTAAAGGAAGGTAATAATGAAAACAATGATGAGATTTATAAACGGGTTCATAGAGCGTTAAAAAGTTGTGTCGGGGTCCACCTCGGTCAAACTGTAGCCCGTCTCAGCTAAATGATTTCCTGAAAATGTAGTCGGTCTAGGTGACGAAATAAGTAGTAATATATTATTATTTAATATAGCAAAAAATAAAATATTTATTAATGGGCCAGTCACAAATGTAACTTCTTATCGTAACCAAATTTACAATAATTAAATGAAAAATACAAAAAGAATAGTTACTTAAATCTAAGACTCAACTATAACAATGCCAAACCGCGGCTTTTATCAAGACTCTTATATGTGAGTGAGTGGTGGGTGATGGTTAAGGAATGGAGTTGTCACGACGAGCGAGAGAGTACAAACTTGGCAGAGAGATACTAGGACTGGATTTACTTGTCGATGACACGTCAAGTTGACGCAAGGAAAGGCGACCTGGACCTGGTAATGAAGCGCTGACAGGAATTTGGCAGCACAGGACAGGACTCAACATAAAGCAGCAACTCACACACACTCGCGTGTACAAAAAACGGAGCGACGACGTATAGCAGCGACAAATAGGCTATCGTAAACACGCGCATGCTGTGGCTTCCAAAGGCAGAGTGAATCTTACCTGCCAAACAACCCCCTATAAAGGCGCAAGGCGTCAGTAGCATCGTCTGTCAAGCATATATATTTACAAGGAGACCTTCTCACCTTCGGGTCATGGATTTGGCCCAAATTTTTTCTGGTGATTTAGGACAGTTAGAAAACATGCCCTGTTATGTTAGGGTGTCTGAATATGCCCTAGAAGCCTTAGGTAAAAAGTAAACGTTAAAATAATAAAAATAAGCATATAAAACACAATAAATATTCATTTCCTATCCTCAAACTATATTGGTTACTTATTTGAGACATCTGGATCTTGAGAACATTACATTTCATTTTTAAGAAGTTGTTGGATCTCACTCGTGACCCAAAACATTGCAATATTGCACAAAGGCATGGCATGAGATCATGGCAAATAGTGGCCTTATGTGCAAATATTATTCACCTCATCACATCATTGATAAAATTCAACTCTGCGTAGGTACTTGAAAAAGTTAAATAAGTCGGTGAAAAAAGTTTTGATAAGAACTTGTCGGATCTCCAGTCCTTGTATTAAAATAATAAGTATTTGAAGCGTTTAAGGCCATAAGTATTGAAATTAAACGCTTTATAATGTCATAATTGAACAATATTGCCATGTTTTGGGTCATGAGTGAGATCCAACAACTTCTTAACAATGAAATGTAATGTTTTCAAGAACCAGGTGTCTAAAATGAGTAACAAAAATAGTTTGAGGGTAGTAAATGAATATTTATTGCGCTTTTATGCTTATTTTTATTATTTTAACGTTTATTTTTTATCTAACGCTTCTAGGGCATATTCACACAACCAAACTAACCTAAATCATCAGAAAAAGTTTGGGCCAAATTCATGACCCAAGGCCTCCTTGTTAGAATAATATATCTAGTAGGGTTGTCTGCAGCGCCATAGTAGAATCTACTAAGGTAGAAAAGTAACTGCGGCTCGGTTAATTCTACTAGATACTTCGGTAGGTTCTACTAAATACTTGGGTAGATTCTACCAAAGTATCTAGTTGACTCAATCGAGCCACAGCTACTTTTCTAACTTAGTAGATTCTACTACGGCGCTGTAGTCAACCCTACTAGATTTTATTCTCAGTGCAGCTTCGCCGCTCCAATATTCATCTCGCGAGCGTTGACCAGTCCTCGCGTCAATCACGCAATCTGCATTCGGCTTCGCATTCTCGTTGGCCAGATCCATCTCTCTCTCGTATACGCATCGCGTAGACGCGTAGACTCACGTGTTCATGCGCAAATCGCGACATAAGGAGGGGGAGGAACAGATTTGATCGCCCACTGAACCCTGCCTTGGCCATATGTGTCTTGGTAACATGGCCACCATGTTACAAAGTATTATTTACAAAAAAAATAAAGCAGATCTTCTCGATGCGCAGAGCCGTGAAAAATCAAAAGCAAGCCTCTTTCCGTTTCTTTCTTGACCTTCAAGTATTTTGCTCGTATCGTTTATTGTCACCGAAGAACGGATAAACTGAAAACAATAAAATATCACGCCCCCAAAGCTCTACATCACAACAATATGTCATGATCAAAATTGATGGAATTAAACGCATTTGAAAATCGGCAAAATTTTAATTAAAATTGTTGTCCGATAATTTTGTTGCGGAGTGTACTTAGTTCCATTATAGGGATTACAGTATCAAATAATTCAGATTAATACTGCACTGAATTCACTCTTACTATATAAGGTAGCTATAAAAATTCTAAATTTTGCATTTTAATGAAAAATGTTTTAAATAAAATTTAAAAATAGGAACGAAGAAATTCGGAAAAGAGGGCATAAATGTGAAATTAGCGTAGTGCTATAAAATTGAGTATGTATGTATTGAGTATATATCGTCGCCCCAGCGCAGGAAGGTATCTATTCCAAATCTGTAGCAAGAAGGATACTTACTCCCGCGCAGAGGCAAAAAGGTATCTAACTCGAGCTCAGCGGCAAAAAGGTATCTGATTCGAGCTAGAAGCAAAAAAGTAGTTATTCAAACGAAGTGGCAAGAAAGTTTTGACGCGCTGAATTTGACGCGCTGCGTTGGCAACGCAGCCGTAAATGATAAAATTTTGTTTTGTATTAGAGCAAAAAAGAGAAAAAAACAATTGAGCTAGTGTAATGATTTTCATCCATTTGTAATGCGAGCAAACAAATCAATCTCACCGTGATTTCGACTGAATTTGCCACTTATGGAGAACTTTGTATGTTCTGAGAGGAAAGTACAAGTTATCGGCTTTACATAACTTTTGAATTAAATGTTGAATGTTGAATGTTGAAACAAAATTTTATCATTTACGTCTGCGTTGCCAACCTAAATTCAGCGCGTCAAAACTTTATTGCCACTTCGTTTGAATAAGCTACTTTTTTGCTTCTAGCTCGAATTAGATACCTTTTTGCCTCTGCGCGATATTTTCTGATCCGCGGTCAGACAGCAGTAGTTTAGGATCCGATTGTATCGACTCGGTGGTGTCTTCTTGTACCGATCGTTTATTGAGTAGGCCGATTGCTCTATTCCAACGTCTAAAAGCGTTACTAGTTCTTGGCATCTTAACGAGGGCAATTATATAAACTTGAGCGCTCATTAAGGAAGTTCCCTTTCAAAGTTCGCAAAAAGTACATATCGACGTGCTAGTGCTGAAAGATGCCACTTCACGCTCCGGACAGAAAGATGCCATTTCACGTTTCGAGCTGAATGATCACACATCACTGCTCGGTATTTCTGCTTTTGAAGCTTCAACTTCAACTTCATCTTCATTTCGATGACAGATTCTGGTGGAGCATCCAATTTTACTTCGAAAAAATGAAACATTATCATGGTGTCACTTCAAACGCAGAAAAAACCATCCTTCAGAATCGAGCGCTAAAGTAGCATCATTCAACTCGAACGCGAAATGGCATCTTTCTGCCCGGAGCGCGAAGTAGCATCTTTCTGCTCTGCGAAGCGAAGCGCCATCTTTCACCCTAGTAAAAAAAGTTTTCATACCAGCGGCCCGAAAGTGACTACTTCCCTGCCACTGCGCAAAGCGGGAAGAGCGATTTTCGGGCCACTGTGTATGAAAACTAGTATACAGGCCTATGCCGCGAAAAAAGAAAGCCCCAGAGCACCTGTTTATCGGCCTCGGCTCCGCCTCGGCCACTAATGACACGTATTCTGGGACTTTTCTGTTTTTCGCGGCCTAGGGCAGTAATATACTATTGGTAAGATCTTACCTAGGAACTTGCTTGAGACGGTAGGTAAGAACTTACGTAAGTTCTTACCTGGACTTTTTTTCACAGTAAACTTTTTAAAAAAATTAGGAATCGTTGGCCATTTTTGAAATTATTTACATTATTATTTAGTATATATTTAATTGTAAACAGTAGGGCAGTGAAAAAGTTTCCCGGGACCGGGGATTGAACCGGTGATCAGTCGGTCACAACTTCAGCGCCTTACCGCTTGAGCCATTCATTGGTTATGCAAGCTCAAAAAAGTTATATTATTAAAATGTGTGTGTGCCTTTTTTTAAATGCTTTTATTGAACTATATTTATATTAACATGATATAAAAACTAGTTGAAAAATATAATTACTAGTTGAAAATCTCGCTTTCGCTATCACTCTGGATGGGCACTAGGTTAGGATCCGGACTTAGCCATAACTTTCTTGAGATACTCGTGATTTTTTAATGTAAATAATTTCAAAAATGGCTGACGATTCCTAATTTTTAAAAAAAATTTTCTATGTAAAAAAGTCCAAAGTAGGTAAGAAAATCGACCAATAATCGTACGTAAGAATTTACGTAAGATCTTACGTAAGTTCTTACCCACCGTCTTAAGCAAGTTCCTACGTAAGATCTTACCAAACTTTTTTACCAGGGCAGCACTGGCACCTCGATATATCAATATCGATAGATTTTGACTTCCCGAATCCAATGGTATAACTTTATTATATCCCACGTAAAAATAGTATATCAGATCTGACTCCAGATCTGATGTTAGATCTGTTATAGGTTCTGGTGAACGTCCAGCAGATCTTATGCCAGATCTTATATCAGAATTTGAATACGATAATCGACATAAGAACTTACATCAGATCGGAAGTGACTGTGACGCCTTTAATTATTTAAACAATAAGTTTATGAATAATTAAAATTTAATAACAAATCTTAAAAAATAAAAGTTATCGAATTAATTTAAATTCACTTTATCAAAAACCCAAACGCATTGGAGGAATTATTCTTAAAGATATCAATATGATTATTAAAATATAACACGTGGATCATGCATAGATACCTCGAGGATTAGGCATTGATACCACGTGAATCGGACATGGATACCACGTGGATTAAATAAATTGTCTACGTAGCTAAGTCGCGTGAATTGACATAATACCTACGCATATTTTCGATCAACCCACGACGATTTTTGCTAAAATCCTTGTAGACTTTTGAACCTCCGCGATGATTTTTAAACAATCAACGAGGATTTCCACGAAACCCCCCGTGGATTGACCAGAAATCCACGCAGATTTTTTATCAACCCACGACGATTTTCGCTGAAATCCTCGTGGATGTAGAAAGATCCTCGAAGGTTTCTCGAAAAATCCTCGTGGATTAATCAATTATCAACGTGGAGAAGTTAAAATCCACAACGATTCACCAACAAAACCTCGCGGATACTTGCAGCGAGCTCGCGAAACAAGTCCAAGATCCTCGAAGATTTGTCGAAAAATCCTCGTGGATTAATCAATTATCAACGTGGAGAAGTTAAAATCCACAACGATTCACCGACAAAACCTCGCGGATACTTGCAGCGAGCTCGCGAAACAAGTCCAAGATCCTCGAAGATTTCTCGAAAAATCCTCGTGGATTAATCAATTATCAACGTGGAGAAGTTAAAATCCACAACGATTCACCGACAAAACCTCGCGGATACTTGCAGCGAGCTCGCGAAACAAGTCCAAGATCCTCGAAGATTTCTCGAAAAATCCTCGTGGATTAATCAATTATCAACGTGGAAAAGTTAAAATCCACAACGATTCACCGACAAAACCTCGCGGATACTTGCAGCGAGCTCGCGAAATAAGTCCAAGATCCTCGAAGAGTTGAAAAACCACCAACTTAAAATTTTTGTCCATCCATGTATGATCCACGTGGTATCTATGTATGATCCGCGTGGAATCGTTGTCAGATCTGCGTGGTATCCATGTCTAATCCTCGTGGATAGCTAATCCACGTGGATAATCAACGCAGATATCCATGCAATTTTTTTCAACTGGGAATGTAAGTTCTGATGTCGATTATCGTATGCAAATTCTTATATAAGATCTGGCATAAGATCTGATGTGCGTTCACCAGAACTTATACCAGATCTGATATCAGATCTGCAGTTAAATCTAACATACCATTTTCACTTGGGATATCCAAGCCAGGTAAAATCTCGAGAAAAACGCGATGAAAGTTTCGAAAATTAACATGGGCTACATAGGAACCCATGAAAATTTTAGCTACATTTACAATTTATGAAAAGAAATCAAAGTTGGGAAATGATTATGTACAGATTGTAGAGAAAGTTCTCGTCTTTCCAAATCCGTGTCTCAAAATAGAGGTAGCCAGCCGTTTTTTCAATATTTTTTTAATAAAAAACGCAAAAAAAAAGACTTTTTCGGCTCGTTTTAGGGCTAGCAGCTAAAATCCAGCTAACTTAACCCATGTTACTGCGCGAACACTCAATTGACTAGCCTGTTACCCGAGGAAACCTCCTTAAAAACATGCTAGTAGTGTAATACTGGCAATAACGCAAGTGACTTTGTAGGAGGAGTCTGTCTATTCAGCATTCATATTTTATATCGATAAAATCTTGAAAATATTATCATAATTCAAGTCACTGTTTAATAAATAAATAAATGAATAAATTTTCATCACAGCGTGCGGGAAGTGCGTTTTCCCGAAGCTTATTGTAAACGAACTAATTGCGGTCTTGCTATGTTTTTTTTTTTATAAAAAACTTAATTTCAAATAATTAAAGTTAATGAGCTGAAAAGTACATTTCAATTGTATGGCTTTTCTGCTTATAATTGCTTTTATTATCAACATTTTTTACCAGTACTTACAACTCATGTTACGAAAATTATTATTGATTTAGGAAAAGCTTTTGCCAGACGAGATAAATTAGTTATTCACATGAATAAATTAAGACATCGACCAGGAGTTACTTCTCTTCCTGCACCTTTATTAACCAACGCTCATAATCAACAGCAATCCTCTCATCAACAAAATCCACAGCATATACGTAGTAACAATATTTCAAGGCCAAAGGAAGAGCAACTCAATTGGACTTGCGAACTATGTGGGAGGGTGTTGGCTACCAGAGAGGAATGGTCTCAGCATGCTAGGTAAAATTGAATTTAGTAATTAATTATGAAACGCGAATCCGACAGCTCCTATTCATGAAGTGACGTTTTGAAGACCACACAGAAAAAAATAACTTAGTGCAAACTTTTGCTTAGCCAAATACACTTCTGCACACAGTGGGCGTACGCGAGCCTGAGTTGGTTATTTTGCGCATAGTGTGAGCAAAAAAAGTCATACTTGCCGGTATAAACTGCGAGTAAATAGTAGATTACGCAACGGCGCGGGAGTTCGTCGATCTTTTGAAAGCGTCTTCATCATTGCGTGTGGAAAGTGCTACTTTCGCACACGGCTGGCGATCTAAAAATCGACTTTCTGCAGGTTATTGTAATGAAAATTAGCCCCTGTTGCGTAATCTACTATTTTAGGCACTAGTGTGCGATATAATTTCTAGTATTTTGTGAAATATCACGCTTGTACATACTATTGCACAAAATTTTGTATGCAACACTTGCCCTAAACCACGCCGTACAAGAAAGGGTTAATTACTTATGGCACTTTTATAATAAAGTATTATTGTTTTACCAATTAAAAGTTTTATATTGGGCATTAAAAGTTTTTTTCGTTTAGCCTAAAAAAATTGATCATTCAAAATTGCTGCGATAAAATAAGCTTTCAGCTTTCTGTTAAAAAGTTGCGTTTTCGCGTTTGATTATATGCAACTGCTCAAAATAAAAATAATTACGTTCTGATTGAGTCAATCGCTAAGAGCACACTTTCTAGCAAAAATTCGGAATAATCATTCTCTTGTTTTGGACTCACTGTATAAATCACTGACAAGGAGACCACATGAGATGCGGGTCACCAAATGTCCTGAAAATTTTTTTCTGGTCTCCTGGTATCTAATAACAAAGCCCCCTATGCTTAGTTTGATCCAATGGGCCTTAGGGCCCATTTTAAAAATCATTTTCTAGTTTATTGAAAAATCTTTGTGATTTTCTAACTCGTAACAGGACATCTTAAACGAAAAATTGCATAATGCACAAGTCTTAGAAGTAGTCAAAGAATACATTTGAATTTTTTCAGAATTTTTGAGACCTGCTATCACCTATTTTCGAAGGCCCAAATTTGACGCGCTTTTACGATTTTCTTAAGAATTTCAGAGACCTTCGAAAGTAGGTGATAGCAGGTCTCAAAAATTCTGAAAAAATTCAAATGTATTCTTTGACTAATTCTAAGACTTGTGCAT